CAGCTTCAATGAACCAACCAACCAGAGTTTCAATCTCGTAAACGTAAAAAAAACACGTATTAAATTTGGTGTATTTTTTTTGTTAAAACAAAAACTTTTAGTTTAGACTTTTGACTGCCTTGTTTTACAATTTGGATTTAGTTCTCAAACACAACAAAAAGATGTACAAGTTAATCTTATAAATACATTTATATTACACTATACATCAATACACATTCGAAACGGCTAAGCTAAGCTTTGTCTAACATCAAAAATTTTCAAAGACATTTGTAGCGGAGATAAGAAAATATTTCACTACATTTTATTTTTTGTTTTGATATGCAATAGCAGGCCTTGTACTGTCAAGGAAGGGCATATAGCATCTTGAATTAAGTCGAATTATAAATACAGGGTGGAAAGTGAACGCCCCCGAAAAACGCTGACAGGTGATATGATGGTAAAAGCAAGTTTGAATTGAATATTTATTTTATGTAATAACTAGCAAACCCGGCGAACTCCGTTTCGCCACCAGATGGCTTCGTTTTACGTAACATTTCGTTTGATGATTAGTGAATTTTCTTTGCTATAAACCTCACGGAGCCTGAGACCTTACGAATGCAAAAAATGCATGCAAAACCGTGGAATCGGTTCGTGCGTTCAGGTGTTATAGCGTCAGGAAGGGAAACCCGACTTATTTTTATATAGTAGGTAAAAACAATTTACTTTTGTCAGCTTTTCGGGAGCGTTCCCTTAACCCACTGTATTTATCACTTCATAGTACTGTACATATAATTTCTGTCTTATGGAATACGACCACAGAATTATTTATTCACTGATACGAGAATAACAAGTAAGAGGCATATTAGCCGGTTTATGATCTTACTTAACAGTACATCCAAACGAAACACCATATACAGACCGCGGTAGCCTTCGATCCCTTGGTACAGTATAAAATTGTAGACGAGCGTAGAAAAATAAGTATTTATAATATATAAAATATGCGTAAAACAATCTGATAGTAAAGATGGAGACTCGTACAACCCCTGTACAGGTTTAAAACAAGCAAGCATAGACAGGATGTTATGAAAAACTGATAAAAAAATAACAGTTTTTACAACAGCCTGTATAGAAAAGACGAAAGAAAGAGAGCACCATTGTAGAAGTATGAGCAATTAGCCATACACATTAATTAATAATATTAACTAAAGCCTCGTACCTACTATGGAATATTTTCAACATGTTGCAACACGTATCCTGTTACATGTTGCGTGATGTTGGATATTGACTAGTAATTTTATATCTGTAACATGCAACGTTTCACGTCAGTAGAATCTCCATCTTACTATAACGAAACTAGATGAAAACTAGCCGTCTATGTCAGGAAAGACACTCTTTTATTTGGCCATCTCGTAACATGTAACGTTGCAAGCTTGAGATGCTCCTTTTGTATAAAGTTACTGCAACAAGTAACAGTAACACGTTGCGTGACATGTTTTTCTCCCAGAACCCGAGGCTTACTACAAATATGAAGTACTTCGCCGCTAGATCACGTGTATCTACACAATTAACACAATTAACTACACATTTTACTATTATTATTATTTTAACAAATTAATAATACGACTATTACACCTCTATTACCTTTATATTAATAATAGAAATATGAAGGCAAGAGAAATAACACCTTATACTGCTGTCAGATACGTTTCATATTCGAAATGAATTTTGTAGAAAGATAAGTTCATTTTGCGCTAAACAGATGTCGCTAGTGAGACGTTATGTCCTCTAAATCTTATAAGAATGTAACATGTAACACCGATAGACTGTTCTATGTAACTCATGATTGTGGAATACCTAAGAATTTCAGCTTTTTCATACTCAGCAACTTTTAATTTATTATTTATTTATTTTATTATCTATGACGCGTAACTGACAGCAGACTTATAATAACACCAATAGTTTAGGAGGTTAGATACAGTAAACATCAATATAGATTGTATTCTATTTAACTCAGAACTTCCTTTATGCGATGCTTGATATAGAACCCTTAACCAAACTGACAACTCGCTCTCAGTTTTTGAAACACCAGAGTTTGGCGCTCTGATTGGCCAGCTCGAGTTAACCAACCAATCAGAACGCTCAACTCGCTCGATACTGTTACGATACGATTGCGATAGTTATTCGTGCTTGGCACTCTGATGTTACTTAAACACTCGATTTATACGTCTTGTTTATGTATACTATAAAGATACGTCGACAACAAATCAAACTTCTGTTAATATAGCCACCAATTTTAGATATAACAAAATTAATTCCATTAAAAAAGTATTAACCCGTCGAGCGTCCGCGTTCTTTATGCATTTCCTTATCCTTATGCATGCAAGAAAATGCATTAATTTGGCCATTGGCACACGAAAACAAGAATCATTACAATAGAAATAAAACAAATACAGTCAAAATAAAAACAAAACATTAATAATTTGAATTTAAATAGATTTTATAAAAGAGAAAGCAGCAGCATTTTTTCTTATGATCCACCGGGTGCTCATAAGGACGCTCGAGGGGCTAAGGAATCTTCAATACAATGATCGTCGTTAACAACACTATGATTTGATTCTAAGTGTTAGATGGGCCAATCAAAAATCAAGGGTAAGTGTCCGAATAAAAGTCTTATTTAATAATACCGATTACATGACAGTAACTATTACATTAATTCTTATTCCTGCCCCATTATATGATGACAAGATCCAGTAATTACAGATTAAAAATATTTATTTCTTAAAAATAATAATTAATTCTATACTAACCTCCTTCTCTCGTCCATTGATCTTAGGCATACATTAATACACATATAAAATGCATATAACTAGCCTATTAAACTGAACACAATCCAAATTAGGTCTTATGTTCTTTGGTATAGGGTGCAATTTACACTAATAATAAACTGTCTAGGAAAAATTGTGAGTAGCTGTTAAAAACATACGACAGTCATTTCTAGAATGTTCTATTTTCGTAAAAACATCTAGTAATTAATCTCACCCATATCGGCAGTGCTAATTTTCGCAAAGGTACCAATTGTAGTAAATTACGAATATCGAAACGTACGTAGTACAATCAACAGATTTGAATTATGACCCCGCTTAAGGTTGAACTACAGACATGCAACCATCTTGACGACTTTGTTGTTTTGACGATTAGAAGCATTTTTTAAAGTGGTTCATGACTTAAATATGTCGATTGTACATGTAAGTATATCTAATTTCCACTATGTGCTTCTATGTCCTAACATAACATCACGCCTTTTATCCTCGAAGGGGTAGGCAGAGGTGCACATTATACCACTGTACAATGTAACACCCACTTTTCACTATTTATGTTATAAGTCCCATGTAATAGGGGGTGAGCCTATTGCCATATACCGGGCACAGTTCCAGACTCCGTGCTACTACTGAGAATTTTTTAAAAACCCAGTAATACGTTGCCCGACCCGGGAATCGAACCCGAGACCCCTTGCTCGGCAGTCGCAATTGCGACCACTCGACCAACGAGGCAGTCTATGTCCTATACCTCTATATATACTATGTATAATATCAAGATAAGCATAGTTAGGCGTACACTCAATTCCATACGAATTTTATTATCAACTAAACATTTAAAATGTCTTAATGCTGACTAGTCGACTATTTAGTGTTTAGCTGTTGAGCTAATGAAAAATGACTAAATAATTTCTACTTTATGTTGTTTTATCGATAAATACACTAGTTAGTATAAGCAGAGGTTTTTTTGCCGTAATGGGGGCTACTTTTGGAATTTTTCACGAGGTGGAGCTAGTGTGTCTATTGGTCCAATAGGGGATTAGCGGTCGCACCATTGTTCATAAAGTATGTGACAGGACAACAAACCTCTTGCTAAATTAACGCCATGTGGTGTTTGAAAAAGTAACTCCCATTAAGTGTGTCTTGGTGAATTTTTGGTATAATAGAGAAGGAATGAAAGAATTTTAAGAATGAGAGGAAGGAAAGAATTTGGTATAAGGAAAGAGATAGAGTATCTATCTCTTTCCTTATACCAAATAAGGAAAGAGATAGAGTATCTATTTCTTTCCTTCTTTCCTAAAACCCTAGTGTTGTTAATTCAAGCGTTTTTATCGATAAAACATTGCTATACCTACCACGATTCACCTTCAATTTATATTGTAAAGCACAGAATATTACAAGTACCTACGAAGGTATATTTTACACGAATCTTATATCAAAAATTTGACAGACCTTCTTCACTATTAATTATTATTCTAATATTAATTACATCTGACTGAATAATACTTCTTCTTGTATTTATTTTGTAAGTATATTTTTTATTAGAATATTCCATAATAGTTTTCCTGAGTTTTAATATTAGTAGGTACGAATTTAATAATTATCAATACCAAGTACAAACGCGAATCCGGTAAGCTACAGTACATATATTAGTTATTTAATAATAATAAATATTTTTCCTATTATATTATTATTACGTCACAATTCACCTTCTGGGGTTTTCTTTAGTAATTTCAATATTTTAATTATTCACGCAATCGTACCATAAACCATACCACTTTATATTTCACCATCAAAGCTAAGCATTAATTATCAATCCACAAACTACTTATACCATTACCATCCTTACCAAAATCAATATTTCCAAACCAGTCCTTTCTTTTACTAATTATCCATTCACTTTTAAACGCCATATTTTAATTTCCATTTTTATTATAATTTTGTCAAAATCTGGATTAAGATTTTATCACTTTTACGACCTTTTGGCCCGTATATCGAAAAATATTTTGACAAACGTCATTATAAATTGACTTAATACTCCAATCGCATACGAAAAAATCTTGCAAGATCCAATATTTTCACGATATAAGGACAAAAGATACTTACAACTATATGCAGTAATCATTAAAAACATCTCAAAAACCACTGCACACGATTATAAGCTTTATTGAAAACGTGATAATGTTTATAATGGGGTGATTACCGTTAATTAGCCCAGGCCATGACGACCTTGGAGAAGGGTACGAAGAGCGCGGTGTGTAGCGGGTGCGCGAGGAAGTACCGGCGGCCGCGGTACAGCCCGTCGTTGCGCGGCAGGCCGGGCGCCGCGCTGTGGACCAGCTCGGCACCTACCACCACGGAACTCGTCGCTGTACTGGCGCCCGCTAGGCCTACGTATCTGGAAGTATAACAGAAATAAATGAATACTATAAACATTGACTTACCACAAGGATTGGCTGTAGAAAGGTCCACGAAGTGAGAAATGGAAGGAATGTAAGGAAACCTTTGCCTATTGCAGTGGAACGACTATTGCTAATAATAATAATAAAGTATACGCCGAAATACGCCCATCACTGAACAACGAGAGGTTTATCTAATGATAATTATCACTATCTCAAATTTGGTAGACGGTTTTAGGATCGCAATTAGACCACTGAATATTTAGAAGTTTGCGCAAAACCAGCGCAAACAGATGTAAATTGAAATAACGTAAATTCCACTACAGTGCAGTATATTATTCCATCCCCTACCTGACACGTCCCACGGCGATGCGTCCGTGCGGTGTGATCACCTTCACAGTGTGTCCGAGTCTCAACTGACGAGGTTCCGAAGGGATGTACGGCTGACCAGTCACACCGATTGATTTTTCCACTGAAATATCATACATTTGATAAATAAATTATTCCCTTAAATGTGGGCAAATGTGCACGTATTGGACGAAACTAGATTGTTTATTGTGCTGAAATGAAGAGTATGACTGTACAGAACTTACAGTCAATAGATGGCGCTTGCAAATTGTCAATGGATCGCCTCACAAACATTTCGGCTTCTTCTAGCAATTCATCAGTATCGTCACGACGGACATCTGGCAGAGAGCTGCGCCAGGGACGGCTAGAATCTGAAAATACATACAAATAAAATCATCATGTCATTAACATAATGCGCAAATACATTGCGCAAGTTTGCGCAACTTGCGCATAAGATTCCATATTAAATTCTGACATAATTATAAAATACGAGTTTATTAAGTCACAATATTTTTTTTGAAGAAAAGGTCACTTTCTTAACAATGTACTTTTAAAATTGTTACGTTTTTCTATAAATATTAAAAATGTATGAAAGACAATAAGAACAGACCTCTGGATGACGGTAAGTACATATTCTGCGGCGTCCAGTCGTTGCTCCTGTCTATACTGAGGCACGGCGACCGGTAGGACGAGCCGCGAGACAAGAATCTAGTTTAGAAAACGATTACACATAGAGTATATTCTATGACACTTAAGTCATATGCTGTAACTAAATGTTATACAAATATTTTCAATTATATATTCGTAGAATAAGTAAATTGTAGTTTTGTAACACTAATGATCATGATTCAGCAAAGAAACAGTTAATCAATGAGATATATCGAGGACTTACTTGGAAGTAGAGGTCGTGGTAGAGTCGTCAGGATGTGACTGTCGCTTGCCCAGCGCCCACACGGGGTCCGCCGACCGAGACAACTCCGGCACCATCGAGGTGAACCCTGGAAATTAGAGCATGGTGACGTTTTATACGAACCTTTTTAATAACAATAATAAGAAGAAGAATCATACATCTTCAGCCCGGTACAGTCCACAATCGGACCATGCACCTTCACTACATCAAAGGCGTTTATAATTTTTATACAATGTTTATATTTAGTTGGAAATAGAAGTTTAAAAGGTGTAGCTTTATCAGAAAGCGCTTGTCAGTGTTAAATATCTATTAGTGGACTTTTATAACTCCCGCGGAAAGGGTAGCAAGAGTGGTGACAATTGGATACTACTCTGCTGAGACAAAGCAAGGCAGAAACAAAAGGTTTTACAAAATTACATACCAATATCACTGAGTAGCACTCGTCGCGTCTCGTCGGTGCGTCGTACGGGTGGCGGGGGGCGCGCGTCCGGCACGGTCAGACGACGCGTCGTGGTCGCGGCGCGAGATGGTACTGTTGGCACGCTCGTTGGTGGGACCGGCAACTATAAAAACATGAGAATACTAATATATTAAAATATTATTGGAAGATGGTGGAAGATTATTTATTCAACTTTTTAAAAATAATCTAAAAGATATGCGGTATGATTATCTAATATAACATTTCTTATGCAAATCCATTTCCGCATCTTAAAAGAAGATACGTCTGCTTCTATGTTGTTGTCTATCTATCCGATAAAAGAAGGAAAGCTTGGAGGCATCGATCTACGAGTGTATAGTGTTTTCGTCTCGATACGATACGGTTGCGGCACTCAAGGCTATTTATGTTTTGTCTAAGTTTTGGAACTATGCATGAAACACTACGCTGGCTACGTAATTACCTTATGCGCAAGATATCCATCGGAGCTCCACCGCGGTGGTAACGCACACACGTCAGTTTGTGCACCGCTCTCCCGACGAGGATGTGCACCGTCGCGTAATACTGGTCGGAGGCGAGCCGTGCCCGCCTTGAACGGGCCTGGAGGCCGTGACACGCCTCGGAAGTTCGATGGTCTGCAGAATTAAAGGGTTATCTCATTAGCATCTTCAACTATTGCTGTCGTTCGTTATAGGTGTAGGTTTAGTCTCTCCAATTAGAGTTTATCTACTTTTTAGAAGAGTTCTAAGGAAATAAACATGAGTAACTATTGAAGGAACGGGTACTAAACACACTCTTTTGACACATTATGCAGAGAAATAGATAAGCTTCGATATAGCTTTTAATAAAAAAATGTGAACTCACCTATACTGAAATGGATTAGGGCAAGTATTCCTTCGAACATTCAAGTTAGCAGCCAGGTCATCTTCCGACGTACCACACTTGGAGATATCAGTCTCCGCGAACACGGAATACCGATGTCCTAGATTAATATTCCTGTGGAAACTGTCAACACTCTCCTCCCTATGTAGAATGTCCATGCTGGAACCGAGTTCGAAACTCGAAGACTTGGTGTTATCAAAACTTAGGCCTCTGTTATATTCGCAAGTGAGACTGTCGATACTGTCCAGCCTCCTTGAACTCGCGTTAGGGCTCTTTCTGTACAGCATATTATCTGATCTATTGTCACAACTCTTCAGGATACTACGGCCGGGGAGATCTAAGCTTCCCTTCCCATTGAAGGCGACGTGTCTGATCTCCTTATCATTTGGGAGCGAGACCCTCTTCTGTTTGGAGACTTCTATCGGTTTCTCAGTGTTCTCCTGGTTCTCCGTCGGAGAGGTTTTAATCTCCTGTCCTGGTTGGAAGTCAGGGTCTAATGTGTGGAATTTAATGAGGACAGGTGTGGAATGCGCTGTAGATGCCGATTGAGGAGCCCATTGGTCGCCCTCGCGAATGGAGACGAGGTCCTCCTGCATTGACAAGGTGGAAGGTTATGGTTGTTAAAACAACATGTTTGGATATAAAAACTTAACATAATCTTGTCGTTTTTGACTGCTTTAATATCTTATGAAATAAATGAGGCGCATTTGTTACTTAATGGTATTCATATCTTTAGGAGCCTTCCGGAAATTTCACTAATGTCACATTATTAACTATCAAAAACTTTGCTTCATATTTTTGAAAGGTAGCTTATATCCATAGAAACTGTCCAAAAGTTTACGAATACCACTAACAATCTTGAGAAATGTTGAATATCAAGGTTGTCGTCGAACAAAGGCTAATAAAGGCTCACAAATCATAAACGGTATTGCTATAACTACTTGTACAGTAGATTTGAAAACCTCCTAAAACTAACATTTCGAATCTGTTCTATTGTTTATTATTAAAGCCGAAGTAAACTCAAAAGTAAATGAACAAGAATAAATCCAAAGAGTTTAGCGATTTCATAAATATGTCACTAGTTCATTAAGTCGTCTGATTACCAACGTCCAAATATTCTCGATGATATCTAAAGCATTTTTAACCGTTTTTTATCAATTTCCAGGTAGAAAGTCAGGGCAGATCTGCTTTCCTGACTTCTTAAGCAGTATCTTTCGATGATTCAAATTACTCTCACCTGTAAATTACTCATATCCTTTGACTCGTCGGTAGTGAATATAAGTTCTATATCGTCAACCTCTTCCGATTCGTTGCCACTTGCATTATCTTCTTGTTTTTCTTCACTAGCTGCTGCAGCATTAGGGTCTATGGGGGTCGTGCCCCCTTCAGAGAACACCGAGTTATCACCTTCAGACAACGACCTAAGAGAAACAGAAGAAGAATTCGAATTTAAAAAGTATATGGGGTTATCCATTCTACTGGTTTACAAAACAGGGTTTTATTTAATGCAACAGGATACATTTTGACGGTATCCAAAGTTTATGACACCGGTGCCATAACTTATTAAGAACAAATTAGGCCATCAGTCAAAGGCACCTACTTATTTTTCCGAACCTAAAGTAAAGTACTAAGCGATCAATCTCTAACTTTCAGGCTTCGATCCCAGGTGCTTATACCATTCGTTGGTTTGCCAGAATATCGACGTATTTCAAAATTCTGTCCAATTCTCTCTCAAATGAATCTCAATGAAATAAGATATGGTTCCTCACTGTAAGACCGATTTTTTTTAAGGGGGGACAGTCATCGTATGTCTGCTCCCGCCTGGGTGAGGCGGGAGTGAGTGTCAGACTCTTACTGACTAAAAACCACCCCGTCCTTCTCCTGCACCTCGAGCCGGAGCCCCGGTAACTCGTTAGGTTCTCCGCGACACTGTAAGACCGAATACATTGCACTACTATCTCAAAAACCAATCGATTTGAAACCTTACAACATATTGAAGCAACGGTTTGAAGATCACCACAACTATACACAAGTATGTCTACTATCACGTCTATCAAAGAAGAAAACATTCCACTTCCTTCTAATAAAACACAAGTAAGTCTTCATTTAATAATATCGACAGCTTAGATTTCCACTTACATTTCTAGTGATTCTAGTCACTATCGACAAGCGAAACTGGGTCATGTTAGCTTCCTAGGAAATAGGCACACAGGCAATATTATAGTCTAGAAATTCCAATACCAAGTATATTATTATTAGTAACGCCTTTCTCTTTTCTATAAAAGGAATAAAGATGAATAAAATAAGTATTCATACTATTCATTAGTTATTCCATTCATTACTTGTCTTCGGTCCCATTTTACTAGCACAATCGACATAAAATAAGGCGATTTTCCTCTGAATAATGGATATAATATGATAATATCAGCTATTATGCCCTTGAGATAACATAATTCAAGGCCAATTATCTAGTGGGGTTGGAAGAGGATTCGGAAAGTGGATTTCCTCATTATTATATTTGAGACGTGAGCAGAATTCACTATACGTAATTATTATTTTGGCAGTGAGTCTCAGTTAGATTATAAGAGATATTATATAGTGCGTAATTAATTATAATCCAAAGATGTGACAATATCTATTTTCAAGTTGCCCTGGGGATGAAATCTGAGACCTCGGAATCACCTGGTTTTCGAATTTAGTGGTTTAGTTAATTTTGAATACTGAATTTTAACAAAATACTTTTTGGTAAGCAATGCGGTGGAATCATAATTAATTTTTCAGATCTAATTAAGTACTTTTAGAAAAAAAAATCCATGATTTTAAAATAAAATTAATTTGAAATTAGAATTCTTAGCCAAACAAAAAAAAAATTCATTTGACATTTCAAATGAATTTTTTTTTATGCCAGTACTACAGACCGGCAATTTCATAGGTAAAGACCAATATAATACTCCCATTTATTATTATCATTACTTCCATAAAATATTTTAACGCCTCGTCTTTTTGTATATACCTATTGGAAAAAATACTCCACTCCAATTACAACACTACACAATGAACTCGTAATACCTACCCCTACCTATAAAATAAAAACAGTACAAACATATTTGTTCTGTCGGAAACTCTGCTTTGTGTACAGCAAACAATAAGTTGGAGTTCCCTGGAAATTAATACGGAATTTACTGCAAATTGCGAGAAGCGAACATTTCCCCTGAAACCTTCAGCAAAACAACGCGATACAAATAAATGTTCCCTGATTTATTCGAACGGAAAACTTTACTTGAGTATGGAACTTCAATAAACTAACTGGTTGATTGATTATTGGGTCGTAAAGGTTTTGTGTTAAAATGCATAATGTCTCATGATAATATTAATCCAAAGTAACCTAGCGGATTAAAAATAGTTAATATACCAATATAGCCTTAAGTACCCTACCTATCTGTTTAAAATCTTCATTAAAAACGGTCAACAGCTGCGCAACACTTGTCGGTTCTGTCGTCGCGCAGGCTGCTCATGATTACGGGCCCCTGACGAGGCTTGAAACTAGTCGAGGAAACTCGTTCAACATTTGCGTAAGTAAGTAGTTTCACTAGTTAGTTCTAAAACAGCAGATAAGATCACTAAGTCATCTACACTACAACTATTGCAAAAAATATCGTCATAATTTTAACCAATTTCTCTTTTCGACATCAACAAACCTGTATTTCGTTCAAAAAATAAAAAGACGAAATCCCACAAAACGAAAGAATTGTAGACAAAGAAAGACGTTTTAAGATCGTCTTACTAAACCGCTTTGTTAGTTTCACCAGCGAACTAACGAGTAGCGACCACCCTTTTACTGTCTCGAAGAAAAATGGCCGGTGTCATTTTCCTTAGTGGTCTACATTATTCGTCTATATTGTAGCCATTTTGTATAGACAGAGACCGTGGATAAGTGTCCGAGAATAGTAGGTATTAGGTAAGTAGATTATCTGTAGACTATCGAAATTGTTATTGTTATAAAGAAGAAAGAAGAAGAATATAGGTAATAAATAACAACTTAAAATTATCGTGCAAAATGAAAAACCGGGGTTTTAAAACATTCTTTGATTTGATGACCTGTCAACCTGTGGTTAAGTTATATAGTCCTTTGTAGCAATTAGAAAATTGGACCCTACTTTAATGACTAAATAGTATATCTATGGTAGAACCTTAGTTCATAATATTGTCTATGATTCCGGTTCAGTGTCTTCAGGTTTTTTTGTTTTATGTATTGCTCAGAATAAAACTATCTTTCTAAAGTTAAAACTGTTTATCCTTATTAAAATTAACATCCTTTTACAAAAAGCCCTTTCATTCTTCCATACACTTCCAGAAAAGTCCTAAAGAAAGCAGGTAGGCATGTCCTCTGTTCAGACGAAAATGTAGCTTACATTCAAGCTACAAGGTTTAAATTTAAACAATTCTAGTACCCAGTTACAACCTGTACCTTTCTGTAAAGTCTTAAATTCAGTCCTGTCTGCAATAAAACTGACTTTAAAATGTTCTGCCAGCCACATAAAGTGAAAAATTCAAGACATCAACTTGCGAGTTACGAAACAAATATTTTATTTAAAGGAAGTGCATTTTCTTAGGTTTGTTGTCTTAGTATGAGTTTCATTTACGTTTAAAGTATTCGAAACGAGTTAATTGGTTGGTTCATTGGCGCCCGCCAATCAGAGCGCCGAACGCGTACTCGTTACGATTACTTTATACGTAAGACAAACTTGTACTAGAGCCTCTGGTCTAGAAAATTTTTCCACAAAGAAATGTATTTTGATATAGCTTTTATTTTTTTTACGTATCTTCTTCTCTTCTCTCTTCTCTGTCGCTTTGCTCTTGGCAGAGTGGTCGTGGTCACGTTGAGGCGGCCGTATTTGTGTTGGAGGCCAATACAGTTTTCCTCACAATCTCCCGCCATCTCTGTGGATTGTCTGGCGCAGTCTGACACTGGGTTTCCCGTTGCCGATTTGACTTGATCAGTCCAGCGCATAGGTGGTCTACTTCGTGATCTGGTTCCCTCTACCTTCCCCTTTTTGCGTATAGAAATATGTATTTATTGTAATACTTATCTGTAGACGGTGATGTAACGCAATAGTTAGATACTAAAACACTCATTTGCAATTCAAGTACTACTTTCTTTTTGTTTATTTGTTTTTGCAAATATTTTCAGAAATTGAATACGAATGAGATTCTATTATAATAAAATAAGACTAATAAAATAATAACATGACCTAAGTCCCTACCCCAAGGGGAAATACAGGTCGCGGAGAACCTAACGGGTTACCGGGGCTCCGGCTCGATGTGCAGAAGGGACGGGGTTGTTTTTAGTCAGTAAGAGTCTGACACTCCTCACCCAGGCGAGAGCAGCCATTCGACGATTTTCCCCCCTTAAAAAAAAGAGGAAATATAGGTGTGATGATATCCAGGGCTTTTGTGTATCCTAATCCATACTTCTTACCTCTAGGAGTAAGCGTCTCCCACTAATACGGTTCCATTGAAATTCAGTGTTTCGGTAAGTAGGTCAAATGAAAGGTTGTGTGTCATGTAACAAGACAGTTCCACATGACAGAGCAAGCACTTTGATGCATTGATTCGGAGTATTCCTTTGTGTAATCCATACACGTACAGTCGTACATACAATTTACTTACAATTTAGTGATATTTAGGTATTCAGTGGTATATTTGTATACGTATTATAATAAGCTAGAGTTACAGGCTGGAACTGAATTATATATTCATTTATATGTATACTAGCTTTTACCCGCGGCTTCGCTCGCGTCACAAAAGAATAAAAAGTAGCCTATGTGACATATATCAATACACACAGCGCCATCTATACCAATAATTTTGTTTTTCAAAAGTACCCTATTATTTAATCCGGACTTCTAACTTTACGTCTGCAAAAATTCAAAGCAATCGGTTGAGTAGTTACTGCGTGATAGTGGAACAAACAAACAAACAAACAAACTCACTTTCCCATTCATAATATTAGTAAGGATGTACACTTTATTGTACACAACACCAATTAAATTATTGGATAGCATCAACAAAAATAGGGTATAATGGGCGGTCCTATCGCGCAGACAGTTCTTACAGACAACCTTTGTATGGAGCAGTAAATAGGAATATTTCATAACAGTATCAAATACTACTCTACCCGACAATGCTAGCTAGGACACTCTGGGTGTCGGGGACCACCGAAATTTCAAGATCAGATCAGAAGTATTCACAATAACAAGAACTCAGTCAATGAAGAAGTTGTTTTCATTATCATCAACAGTCCGTAATAGTCCTCTACTGGACTCTGCACTAAGAGCCTTTTCTACATAAGAGGGTATTCCCTAATCTCCACGAATTGGAAAGGTTTATCAGAGCTGCTCTCTGGCCTCTATCAAATGTGTACCACCTTAATAGCCACACCACCTTAAAAGGCACCCCAGAGTAACAATCGTACAATCAAGAACCAATCAAATCAATACTTACAGCATATCCAGTATCAATACATTCCATATCAGCTCCACTCACTAACAAACTGGCACAAACACCCCTTTTTGAAATGTAAACAACAACAGAATAAAAAGCTCTTAAGCCTGAATGACGCAACAGTTACCTGTATCCTAGGTACTACTGTGACCTAATTTACCTATAAATAGCTCACAGCCAGAAACTAGGACACAGGGCATAACATAACTATTTGCTTTATCATTATTCTAGGGCCGTAGGCTGAATGAAACGATAGAACGAAGCCGTTTTATTTGAGCGCCATTTTTTGTTCCTATTCAGGTTTATTTTTGTGTAGATTGCAATGCAAACTGTAGTAATTAATTGGACATAATTATGAGGCTTTGCTTTTTTTACATAGTAAATATTGTAGAAGGTTAAAATATTTGGTTATCTATCAATTTCAAAGATTATGAGATGATCACCCTAGTTCATAGTTAAGGACTTTTTTTGAAGGGGGGAAATTCATCGAATGGCTGCTCCCGCCTGGGTGAGGCGGGAGGCAGTGTCAGACTCTTACTGACTAAAAACCACCCCGTTCCTTTCTCCTTCTCCTGCACGTCGAGCCAGAGCCCCGGTAACCCGCTAGGTTCTCCGCGACATAGTTAAGGACTTAAGTTTTCAATAAATCAAGAACGAAGCAAATTGGGATATTTATATAAGTCACCCTTTTTTTTTTGGGAAAAGCGACCTACTGTATATTTCCTTAGAATCAATTATTGTGTCAAATATGTGCGTTCTGTTGATGTGTCCGCATTTCTCCGAAATCGTGACTAAAAGGGGGGACCGGGTTTCCATGGTGAAGTTTTCCAAGGTTTAAACTTGGTAATAAATGACTTATCCCTACCCCTAAACATGTATCCAGAATTGGCAGACACGATATCGTGTTTCGCCGCAATATCGCGCATCGTAAATAAAGAGGGTAGTCAGAAATGTGGATGATAGCACTGAATTTTGAGACGTCAAACAAAAACGCGATGTCGTGTGTTGATTCCGTGATTTTTTCGAGAAATATAATGGGCATTCCTTTTTTTATTAGGCTTACCTTATCCTTAATGCGTTTATAGGCTCGAATATCTAAATTAATGTAATTTTCAGATTGTCATCTGTATAAAAAGCGGGGCGAAATAACAAACAGCGAGATCTTGATTGAATTTCTTGTCGCCGTCAACTCCCTCGAGTGTCTCGCGCACTGATCTACTTTTAATTTAGAAATCTCAAAAGGATAAGGTTTGTTTGGGAAATAATTGCGTTGAGACCTTTACAAAGAAACTGGAGATTTCATTTCATGATTGGAAATGTGAGGCATCGCCTTAAATAATAAATATCACGACTAATCAATCCTAAAAGGCAAGCAACTGTATTAGGAGTGTTTACCTTGTACTTGAATTAAATCAAGCCGTACTTAGAGCGACCCTGTTTTCATTACCTGGCTGTCACGAATCCTGAATTTCAGGCCCCGTGCCCTTGAATTTGAATAAACTACGGTCCAATCTCAGTTTGCATAATAAGGTAATGAAGACCCTGATGAGTTTTTCAAGCACGTTTATCTCTTGAACTACTCCAGTTGTAAATAATAACTTTTGCATAATTTAACATTGACATTAATCATAACATTGTGCCTCTAATTCCTCGAATAAGTAGGAAGTAAGCAGAGTAGGTATAGTATACCCATCCGAATCGAGTCATCAAACAAACCTGAGACCTTTAGCAGGTTAGCGGACAAGGCTAGCCATAATGGCAAACCATGCTCCCAGTACTTATAAAGCAGGAGTTGATGTTCCTGCTCCAACTGCTCTTACTGACCAAAAACTACTAGTTTTTAGTTAATCAGAGTCTGATACTCCTTCCCGCCTCACCGAGCCCGAGAGGAATCATTTGACGATTTTTAATCCTTACAAAATAAAGGCTTGGCAGTTGTACACACGGCTACACATAGAGCTTTACATAACCAGTATAAACTGGACATTAAATATGCGAAAAGATGATGCGACGCGACACCAGGATTAACTGGTTTTGTATAGATTGATGTGTGACCGTGTGTACCTACTTGTAAGCATTTGATCAACAAGGCCGTAAACAACGAAGTAAATCTTTCTTTCTTCACCTTTAATGTTACAACGCTGAATTTATTTCCGAAATACGTCTCAAGCCCACTCATACTAATCCTCTACCCACGTGATGCAAAAATAATGTGACATTGAAAGGCGTGGGTGTTCCCCCACCTACGAAGACGCCTCCAGAGTATTTTTGAGCTATACAACTTCCATTCACGTCAAATCTTATAAAGCTAATCTTATTTGCTTCCAATTTAGATTTCAGTTCGCCAGTGACCGGCTACAGTCTATCCTTAGAGACTGCTAAACGGATTAGGAGTTAGGTATTATGATAGAACTGAACGGTTTCTTGACGTTGAAGGCTATGTGGCGTAGAGTTTCGGCGTGAATCTAATTAATTCGGTGTAATGAAATTATTTCTCGAGACATAGATGTTTGAAGGTAGAAAGTAAGATTACCTTCTTGGGGGGTTGAGATCAACAACATAAAAGATCCCCAGACCTTATTTGTTGCGTACCTAGTTAAGTGGTTATCACAGAGCGCGAGATAGAGTTTTAGCTTTGATTCCTAGCTTGGGTAAAGTAGAATAATGATGTAATCTTTAAAACCTGTGTACTTGTACTACTCATCTCATTTGAGCCATGAAAGGTGAATAGTAGCTCATCTCTAAAAAAGTATGTAAAGCTAGGTATATGTGTAAAGGAAGTAAATAAATAAAAAACTGCTGCTGCTTCATTGGCCGAGTGGTTGCAAGTTCGACTGGGCAAGGGGTCTCGGGTTCGATTCCCGGGTCGGGCAAAGTATACCTGGGTTTTTTAAAAATCCCAGAAGTAGCACTGAGTCTGGAAATGAGCCCGGTATATGGCAATAGGCTCAATAGGCTCCCCTATGCCTCCCTTACATGGGACTCATAACATAAATAGTGAAAAGTGGGTGTTACATTGTACAGTGACATTAAAGTGCCGTAATGTGCACCTCTGCCTACCCCTTCGGGGATAAAAGACGTGATGTAATGTCAAGTTAAATAAAGAATAATATTGGACTCACCTGAGACTCAAATCATCAACATCCAAGTTGAGTGTGTCCTTTCTTCTACTCCTTTCAATATTCTCCTTCACAACCAGGTTCTCCTCCGAGGTGATCCTCACTTGGACGTCAAACTTGTCCGACTTGCTTTTAACATCCGCTTCATTTGGGACAGCCATCCTGACGTTGTCCGTAGTAACAGACTTTATATTCACCGACTTATTATCCACCTGTCCCTCTTTTTCTTGAAATCGTTGACCAGTGAATACCGTAGAATCCTTCTCAAAAGCTCTTCTGTCTTCAGAAGAATCACTCTCTGATGTCGTACTAGAAACAATTGTACCTTCTTTCAATGTCCGCACTTTTATTCGCACATCAAACTTTGATAGTAGCTCAAGCTTAGTCTTAAAACTTGGTTGATGAAGTTGTTCAGGCTCCTCAGTTTCTTTAGGTAAACTAGAAACCTGAGAGATTTCTCCTATTTCAGTATTGTTATTTGCATCATCAGGAGCAATTGAATCTGCCGACTCGTTGAATGCAGGAGATTCAGGGGCTTCTGAAAATTCCTCTACATCCTCTGGAATCTCATTCAACTTCTCGGCTGAACAGAAATTACTGTTCTCATCAGACTCCTGAGGAATGGGCTCTAGCTCATCTATAGTGCTGTTCCGGTCTGTAGCAGTTGCAATCACCACTTCACTACTTGTGAACTCTTCAATATTATGTGTATGAGGGCTATAAGTAACTTCCAACTTTATGTTTTGTGCATCAGGGTCCTTTTCTTGATAATCAGATTCTATAATCCTCCGCCGCAAAATATGGTTCTCTAATGTCAATTTTTCTATAACATCTGCATATTCTAAGCAATGAGAATGCTGCTCATACTTTTCCTTCAACTGTTTCAGTTCATTCTTGGAGACTTCAAGTGCAGTTCTAAGTGAGACTACAGTCTGGTGCAGTGCTCTCACTGTGTCCAAGTGTACAGCCCCGGAAGGGGCCGCCTCCAGCCTGCCGCTATCCATTCCACCTTGTTACCCGCCAGTGAGCCAACAAACAACATCCCATACATGACTACTGTTTTCTGTTAGCCCTCAAAACACAATCACTGCACTTTCCATTGCCTGGGAGACGGAACTACACCTCGAATAAATAAACAATCATTATCGAGTGTCCCGCGCGAATAACCCGCGTGAATGCGCTCGCCGCCGCCCGCCGACAGAAACTCATCGATGACCCAATTTGTGAATAAAACCGTTCACATACACATACATCATTTCGTCGCACATTCTCAGATCCTTATCAAGACTCGTAGCGGGTTGGAGAACACCGCTGGAGCGGGGCACGGAAGGGCGAGTGATCGATAAAACAACTCGCCCCAAACTGTTGTAATTAGCTTTTAAAGCAACGAACTCGCGGAAGGCTCACAGCTGGCACCGACCACTGATAAAGTCTGACACGGAAGGTAGTAATTACGCGGAATATTATCTCCACATCTGACAAGGCTGTAGGATATAGCTATAGTGCAAGATACTTGAGAAATCTCCGTGCACTGCTACTTGTAAACAAATCAATACTTCAATTTGGTATTCGCGGGCGCAAGTGCGAGAAGATAAGCGAGACATTTCTGTTTCGGTCTGCTAATGTCAATTTGACATCAATAAGGATGCGTTCTGATTTAAAAAAAAAATAATTTTAATTTTACAGTTTTACAGTTTTTTCACATGAAATTAAATTATTTCACTATATGTGCAATAAAGTTTTAATAAATAAATATATAATTCTTATTCAATAAATCTATCCTGAATTCTAACTAAACGTACTTATACGACAAACGTCAAAGTCATAATCATACGGATTCAAAATAATAACCTCAAAAAGGTTATTATTATTAAATAAAATTTGTAAAAATAAATTAAAAGAAGCTTTAAAATGTTCAATATATCAAGTATTTACAAAAATACATGTGTTACTTCATATTTAGTGCTACAGACTCGATACAAAACCAAGATACATTGGGTAAATACTCATTAAAATACACATCAATATTGTATTACAAACTTTGCGTCTTATTTAATGTTTTTAACTTGTTTCACAGTCCAAGTTGAAGAAAAAAACTGGTCCTAAATATAAAGCGTTGAACCATTTCGATGAGTTCTATGCTTCAGTGTTTGGGGACGCTAAATGGCAAGCAATGCGCGAAGCGATGTTACGGCGTTCGAAATATGTAGCACTTGTGAACAATTACGGAGATGCCGATAAAACAATGGAGGAACTTACTAAAAGAGGTACATCCCCGATATATATCAAGGAGTCGTCTAATCTTTAGTAATTTTATCAATTTTTTTTATGTGAAGTCTTATTGTAATGATCTTTCTATTTGTAGGTTCAACTTGATTTATTTTCTTCTTGTTTATCTAGTATCTTTATCTTTATTGTTAATCTAGTATTGTAACTTCAATTACTTTTAAGTGACTTGTGATAGTGCAGAGTCTCCTAGCACAAGCAACTCATTGCTTATAAAGTGATCTCCAATAATTGTCTCAAATGCCCGTTATAATTGAACTAATTTTTTATATTTTTATTTATTATTTATGTCTATGTTTATTTTAATATTTATTTTTTCTATCCTGCCATTTAACAAACTGTTTCTACAGAAACAATAATCTAATTTGATGTCAGATTTACATCAGTGGAAGTGGATTAGCTGAGATGTGTCCCCAGTGGTACCATTCTCATCTTTTGTCGGCAAATCTTGTTGCTAGGTCTGGTATACTGTTTCTGTTTAGGCGAGAGTATCTTAGACTGCCCACCCCCTGCAGTTCTGCGGGAAGCTGATTTATATGTTAGTCAAGTCTTATTTGGTAGTTCTTGCTGTATTTTAATATTGGTGAAATTTTCTTTAATAAAAAAAACAGTAAAAATATCCTCCTTACAGGAGCTCACTGCCTGAAAAAGTTAATAACAATACAACAAGAGTTTAATAAGGAATACAACATTACTCCTGAAGCAACACAAGTTGTTGAGACGGATGGACAGTCAGAAAGACTAACAGATTATATGGAAAGACAACACACTGATGAGATTTCCAATATTTATCCTAATTCAGAGAATAAACCTGAGAAATTGGATATGGAAGATGAAGAAGAAGTCAAAGTGAAGAAGGTGAACCAGGAGGTGTAAGTATTGTGTTCATCACTAGGTGCTGTCCGAGACATATCCCATTACATTTTTTATACCAACCTTATGACAAATAAAAGAAAGAAATATCCAATTTGGTTATGCGGGTCAGCATACATACATTTCAGGGAATAATTTTTATTAACTCTTTGAGTACCGTCATTATAGACACAATTAAAGAACAATAGGTTGCGGTCACCGGTGTCTTCTCGGTATTTGACAGTTTAATAAGCATTGTTATCATTTAGCCACAGGAGATTTACACCTATTTAATTACAAAATGTAGCGACACATGTCAAATGACAGCATCAGCAAAGTTAATGCCTAGTAATGGACATGAACAAATCAAAGTTTAAAAAACTAAAGACTTTTTAAAGACTGATTAATTCCAAAGCATTAAACTTTTGTGAAACAAATAAGTTTGTTTTTGAAAAGTTCAATCAGTAAAATATTTTATTAAGTATTTCAAATTGGAAAAATTTTAAAATGGCAGTTATTCAATGTTAGATTCATTAATAATAATTAATGAATTCACCTTTGAAAAACATACAAACATGGATTATGACATTATGGATACAGACAAAAAATTATATTTTTTTTTTAATTATTTTGTTCTAATTTCAGGACCTTAACAAACAAGACCTTAGACGAATCAATAGCTGAAGCCAAAATAGACGAGTCCCGGATAATAGACCCGTCACTGGGTATGACTTCCGAGTCCCTCTACCAGTTCCTGCCAGCCACAAAGCTGAAGGGAATGGATGAATGGGTCCCTGAGTCAGTGCATTATTCTTATTATTCTAGTAAGTACATAAATTAATTTTAAAAAATACATCAAACACAATTAGGGCCTGTTTTTCAATGCTCAGATAAATTTTAACTTTCAATGTTTGACAATTCTTCCATACTAAAAACTGTCAACTGTCAATTTTATTCTTCAGTTAAGCATTAACTCATGATTGAAAAATCTGCTCAGTCCCCAAGCGAGCACCGGTGACTGCTCTCTACTTACTCCATTATACACCTTATTTCCGATGATTAAAGACTACTTTTGTGTGAACAAATGTTGTGGATTTTTCATAATCGGGGTTTTAGTGAATAAGCTAAACTGTCTAGCTAGACTTTTTCTCATCTAACAATCTTTCTTATATTTTATAATAACTATCGTGAGACATGCCTACTAAATTAACCAAAAATCGCGGGTTACTCACGTGAATATACTAAACATCCCCCCTCTGGTACGAAACTAGTAGAGCTGTTCTCAGTATATTCACTTGAGTAACCCGCGATTTGTAGTTAATCTTTCTCATACAATAAAAAATAAGAAAATTAATTCCTATTGTTTTATTTTCAGAGGAGAAAGACTTCCCGTTTATAATAGAACCAGAAGGTCCCCTAAAATATCCGGAACATTTGAAAGTGTTTACATATGAAATGGACAGTGACCAAACCACTTTCCCAGAGCCAAAGAGATGTCAAACAGGTACCTTTTTTTTATTTATTTTTTCGAGGGAAGCCATCAAAAGGCGCCTAGCTGTTTTGGAGAGAGAAAACTTGGGAATGTGAGATTTTAACCTCAACAAGTACCTAATGATGTTTTCTTATAATTAATAGGTCGTCGTATCTTATATTTGGGGAAATTCGAAAAAAAACAACTTTACAACACGTTTTATGTGGTTTTTTTAGCCATTCTAAAAGCATGTTTTATACAAAGTTTCGTTGTTAGCCGGAAGACGCCTACTACTGGACCAAGGCCTCCCCCTTAGCTCTCCACGTCGAACGACAACTCGCCACCTGCATCCACTGGCTCCCCGCGTCTCTGGCAATGTCGTCGGTTTGATCGCTTCCATCCACCATCACATGATTCATCTACTTGTGTGACCCCAACCCCATGAACAAATGCACCTCTTATAACATTTTTGAGAACTAACCAGATACCATTTCAATTAATTCAAGTCTTGGTGTACATAATATTTCAGGAGTTTACAATTACTACCCAATGGACTGTGGGAGTATCCTCCCAGTGTTAGCTCTGGACCTGAGCCCCGGTGACAGAGTGCTGGACCTCTGCTCGGCCCCCGGAGGCAAAGCCCTAGTCGCGCTGCAGACGTTACTGCCAGACGTAGTCGTGTGTAACGACATCTCTATATCTAGGCTGAATAGGTGAGTCTTGTGTTTGTTTGAACTATTATTTGCGTTTTAGTTAAAAAGATAATCAAGTGTGGGAGAGCCATGCTTCGGCACGAATGGGCCGGCTCGACCGGAGTATACCACGGCCTCACAGAAAACCGACGTGAAGCAACACTTGCGTTGTGTTTCGTCGTACGCGTGAGGTTACCGGAGGCCCAATTACCCTCCCCTTCCCCAATCTCCCCAATTCCTGAATCCCCAACGATCCTCAAACTCCTAATCCCCAAAAGGCCAGTACCGCACTTGTAACGCCTCTGGTGTTCCAGGTGTCCATGGGCGACGCCGATTGCTTACCATCAGGTGATCCGTCTGCTCGTTTACCGGCTAATGCCATAAAAAAGTCACGCTATTATTTTCTCCTATACCGTGCGTTTGTTTATAACCATACTAAACATACACATCTAAAATCACACATAGACCTAGAACGACAAAGACTTAAGCCGCTTTTGGTGCTGGAATACAATCTGTAACGGGTTGCGCACAAGCTAGTTGCCCAGCCACTGCACCAACTGGGCAGTCAAATGCTCTTTTATTCATCCACTAGCTATTACCCGCGGCTTCGCTCGCGTCACAAAAGGATAAAAAGTAGCCTATGTGACATATACCCATACATACAGCGCCATCTATACTAATACTTTTGTTTTCCCTCGGGAATATGAAATTTTTCCAGGATAAAAAGTACCCTATTATTTAATACGGACTTCTAACTTTACGTCTGCAAAAATTCAAAGCAATTGGTTTGGTAGTTACGGCGTGAAGGTGGAACAAACAAACAAACTCACTTTCCGATTTATAATATTAGTAAGGATTATCCTTTCTCATTCTCACGGAGCTTTCGGCCTCGCACAGCAAAACTGTGGAATTAACTGTCGTCTGCGGTATTTCCGAACCGATACGACCTTCAAACCTCTAAGAAAAGAGCGTTTTCCTCTATAAAAGGCCGGCAACGCACCTGTGACTCCTCTGGTGTTGATCGCTTACCATCAGATGATCCGTCTGCTCGTTTGCCTCCTACTCTATAAAAAAAAATATACTATAGTTTTTTTATGGGTAATTTACAATTTCTAAGCTCATTATTGTTATAACTTTGTATTTCAGGATACAGCGTTCGTTCCGCGAGTATTTATTCGATTTCGAGACGAGCAACAAATGGCGGGAGCGCGTCGTCTTCAAGAGGGTGGATGGACGACTGTACACTGATGACCTAGGTTTCGATAAGGTAAGCATGACTATAAGCATCAAAACTTATTTGGGGGTATCTTGGCACATTTTCTTCATATGTAGGAAAGCTATGCTTCATCACAAATGCTTCGGATCCATCACTTTACCGGAGTAATACCATAACATCGCATAAACCTATCTTGGAACAACGTTAACGTATTGTTTTTCGGAGTCGCGGAGAACCTAACGGGTAACCGGGGCTCCGGCTCGACATGCAGGAGAAGAAACGGGGTGGTTTTTAGTCAGTAAGAGTCTGACACTCCCTCCCGCCTCACCCAGGCGGGAGCAGTCATTCGATGATTTTCCCCCCCTTAAAAAAAACGTATTGTTTTGTATTATTTTTTAAATGTTAAATATTATTTCTCCACGGACTGTTGGTCCGTACCCTTGCCATACATTTTATTTTTATAATATGTCTAATTAATATTTATTAAGTACCTTTTGTCTTGCATTAGTGAGGTTACCGGAAGCCCAACTTCCTCTCCCGCCATGCCCAATTTCTGAACAGCCGGAACCGCAGTTTTAACTTCTCTTGTGTTGTGGGTATCCATGGGTATCAATGGGCAGTGCCGATTTTATTTTGTTGAATGGGACAAGCCCGCCACAACCTCCGAAAATCCTCCGATCTACAACAACAACGTGATACAACCGTGAAAACACCGGAACACTGAAATCCGGCGCGTCCCAGGGACATGAGTAACTGTCTTGGTTCCCGCAACGAAGTGAATCAGAAGATATTATAAGAGGAGAAGAAACAAAAATGGGCAGTGTCGATTACTTACTATCAAGTGATCTATCAGCTCATTTGCCAACCTATAACATAAAACGCAATTGCGGCTATTTCCAGGTCCTAGTAGATGTCCCATGCACAACAGACCGACACTCCATGAATGAAGACGAGAACAATATCTTCAGACCTGACAGAGTCAAGGAGAGGCTCAGGATACCCGAGATGCAGTCTCAGTTGCTAGTGTAAGTAATGTGGACTCTATTTACGTGTAGTTAAAATTCATTTTAGAAATTGTGTTGATTGAAAATGTGTAGCAAAATTAAACGTTAGTGGAAACTGAACTTTATTGTATATGTTGTAAAGTTGGTTTTCTCTAATGTTTGTACATGTAACAGAGCTATACCTACCTACCAGGATACTTAGATTATTCTTTGGAACATGCCCCCAACCTTTTCCAGTATCTCTCCAATGAGATCAGACTGCGTCGTTGGCCGAGTGGTCACACGTGTGACTGCAAGGGGTCTTGGGCTCGATTCCCGGGTCGAGCAGTCTTACTAGGTTTTTTTTAAAAAAAAGGAATTCTGCCCGGTGTATGGCAATAGGCTCACCCCCTATTAAATGGGACTCATAACATAAAATAGTGAAAAAGTGGGTGTTACATTGTACAGCGGCATTAAGTGCCGTAATGTGCTTCTGCTTACCCCTACTAAAACGCGTAATGATGTAGAGGCACAGATTATAAGTATGTTTTTCTTTTGGCGATCTTTGACTTTCCCAGTGAATTTATCTCTTATTTATTTCTGAATCTTATCGCTATAAAAATATTGTATCCAATATGGCGCTGACTTTCGACAGTAATCTGCTTACAAACATTTCGGAGATTCATTTTTATATACGTAATACATAACATAACATCACGCCTTTTATCCCCGAAGGGGTAGGCAGAGGTGCACATTATGCCACTGTACTTACAATGTAACACCTACTTTTCACTATTTATGAGTCCCATGTAATAGGGGGTGAGCCTATTGCCAAATACCGGGCACAATTCCAGACTCCGTGCTAATACTGAGATTTTTGTTAAAAACCCAGTAATACTTTGCCCAACCCGGGAATCGAACACGAGACCCCTTGCCCGACAGTCGTACTTGCGACCACTCGGCCAACGAGGTAGTCTAGTATATACGTACGTACGTATATACGTAATAAATTTTCTTATATGTTTCCAGTAACGCTCTTCGACTGGTGAAAGTCGGTGGGACAGTAGTCTATTCTACTTGTTCACTGAGCCCCATACAGAACGATGGAGTCGTCCATATGGGGATGAAGCAAGCCTTCGAGAATAATAATATCATCGTCAAAGTCAAGTAAGTATTGTTTGGGAATTTGTACCTTATTTCTTTGATTGACGGGTTATTTTATTTATATTATTTATCAATTGGTCATAGAAATATTTATGTTCATCGCAATTAAGTGTACCCAGGCCTAATAACCGCTTAATTAACATTGGTGTTCAACCAGGGACAGTAAGTCAAATGTTATTTTAAGTGTGGGAGAGCCATGCTTCGGCACGTATGGGCCGGCTCGACCGGAGTGATACCACGGCCTCACAGAAAACCGACGTGAAGCAACACTTGCGTTGTGTTTCGTCGTGTGAGTGAAGTAACCGGAGGCCCAATTACCCTCCCCTACCCCAATCTCCCCAATTCCTGAATCCCCAACGATTCTCAAACTCCTAAGCCCCAAAAGGCCGGTAACGCACTTGTAACGCCTCTGGTGTTCCAGGTGTCCATGGGCGACGTCGATTGCTACCGTCTGCTCGTTTACCGGCTTATGCCATAAAATTAGCTCTTTCAGCCATCTTTAATTAAATCGCCAATCAATATGAATTAGGTTAATCAAGCAACTTCTTTCCTTTTCTGACCTTTATTAATAATTTTTTGGGGTTGGATTCAATATTTTACATAGAACGACTACCATTTGCCCTCCACAATGCTTCAGGTGTAATACGACACTCTTGATCTGTTTAATCGCATCCACACAGGAAATTATGATATTTATAAAAAATGTCTCACTACAGACGGTTTTTGTTTCAGGAACATGTCATTAACAATGTCAGGTCTGACCAGCACGCTGGTGTTAGGCACGGGTTCTGCTGCACCTAAGTACGGCCAACTAGTCACGCCATCAGTCGGCGCCAACTTTGGACCCTCATATATCGCTAAACTAATTCGTATGCGATAAATAACAAGACTTCTTCAATTTCAAAGGTAATTTGCTCCTCAATTTATGTAAATATTGTAAATACGTATTTTTATAAATAAAATTAAATTAAGATACACAAAAAAACGTTTATTTATTAAAACATTTTCACTTTTAAACGTACACATTGTCTTTGGCAAGCTAATCTACAATATAATTGATATACCAAGCAATTAATATATAAACCGCAAGTCTTTATCATTTAAATGCATTATAAATATCAGAATATTTTTTGTCAGTCAATATTCAGCTTTATTTCAGGGGAATAAGTACAAAAATACATTTGGTATGCTTAAATCTAAATTAAAAATATCTGTCAAAAAAATATGAGATTTGCACAAGTCATTGATCATTTTGCGCAAATTATTGGTCAGATTGCGCTAAATGTTGATTGGTTAGCGCAAAACTTTGAATTGTTTGCGCAAAATTAATACAACAATAGTTAGTTATTAGATTAGATATGTTTCTATTATAATGCAAAACTTATTATGCTACTTTAACAAGATTAGAATAAGTACATAATTATAAATAAAAAAATATATATGACAGTCTCAATTTATAATACTTTTCCGAAAGCAATTTTGTTAGAGATCCTATTAAAACCAAATCATATGTATGAATAAGAATTCCTCAGTAAAATACTTATACATATAAACCTTTTTAATATGAAACACTTATATGAATTTACAACATACGTAAGTACAATTTATAAGATCGTCAAAAAAGTAATAAATTTTATTTTACATACATAATATTTCTAAGCCCTCCTTATTAAATAAAGATTAAAAAAAAAAATTAAATTATTTAACTACAAGCTTCTATCTAATAAATTGCTTTATCTACTTTACCTAAAACAGTTAAAGCATATAAATAAATAGAGATACAACTCGAATGAACCTCTCTCTATCTGTGATGCATTTAAAATTCAAATTCCAATTTGAGGTCGGTGTAAATATCATTAATGTTAGCTGAAAGTTCCGATAGTGGCTTACCACTATGACAAAAAGAACCCAATACTAAGTCGTGAATTTTCCTTAATAGATTTTAAATCATATGTTTTTGTAATAGAGTTGTAAAAAAAGCTATTTAAGTTGATTACCTTACCTTTCATCCCCACCTCTCTCCGATAGCATTGGACAATCATGTCTTCAAATCATGAGAATATAATATCTCATTGTAATTGATTTGTAGTCTAGTATTATTCAGATCTAAATAGATACCTATTATACCTCAGCACTTTAATTAATAAAGTATAGACATATTTAACAAGATTTCGGGGTTTATATTATAACTTTCGTGGGACATACTATATTAATTATTACGTTTTTCGGCTTACTCACTTGACGAAAATCTCGACTAGTATCGACGGTCGCCGCGTCGTGTGTCATAAAATGTTGCTCATGAATATGAGCCTCTAGTATGGCTTGAAACTAGTCGAGTTCCTCGTCAAATAATTACGTGAGTAAGCCGAAAAATATAATTATAAACATTTTAGTAATAGTAATAATAATTAACTAAAATATCTCTGTCATTTTATGCCAATCATTTAATTCTAAACCTTATTCCATTTTGGTAAGACAGTTTTCAGTTTCTTAAGGGCTTTGTTTCCCTTTCTTCAGGTTCCGTTTCCGTTTCCACTTTATTCCAAGGTTGCTCCTCACCAGATCCGAATAATGTATACGTCACTAATTCAATTGCGTACAGCCCGATTGTAGTGAAGAATATTTTGCGCCATGCTGTTATAGTTTGCTGGAATACATAAAAAAAGCAAATTAAGAACGATATCTTTTAAAAAAATACTATACTTATTAATTAACTTTTGGTTTAAAAAAATCCCAAAATGTAAAATACAATCAATCCATTTAATTTTTTATTTTTTCAAATGTGTAAATGATTCCAAAATAACATTAAAACACCGATATAGTCGTGCATATAATATATCTATAGATCTATCCATAAAAGTTAAGTTCAAGTTCTTAACTTAAAGAATATCCTTTGTACCTAATAATCGTAAAAATAAAATTAAAATAATGATATACATATATACTTACATTGCCATCCGTGACATAGCCAACGAAGATAGGCACCACGATGCCAGGTATAGTTGCCACGGTGTTGGTGACAGCCATTAATGTACCTAGCAAAATAAACAAATAATAAATAGCATCACATTTATTTTATGTAACACTTTTTCCACGCGTTGTCATGAAGTTTATCTGTGTATTAAGTGATCTCTACATAATAATATAATAAAATCGTAGGAAAGTGAAAACTGTACATTGAATATTTTTTTTTAAAGAATGCTTGGTACTACTACTTTCGATATCTACTTTCGATATCGAAGCCAAAAATATGGTATTTAGAATTTTGGCTATTTGTATGTCCGGGATAAACTCGAAAAGGACTGTATGGATTTACTTCAGATTTTGCATGAATATTACTAACAAGTCGAGCCCACATATAGGCTACATATTATCAAGCTATCACCTACTGGGAAGGACCTGTGAATCATTACTCCACGTGGACGAAGTCGCAGGCACAGCTAGTATATATATAACTAAAGATTTTTTTTGGGAATCTGATTGAAAAAAAATCAATAAAGTATGGCGTTTCTTGCTGGTTCTTCTTCATAGGAATCTACACCTTGGAATCAGCAAATCAAATAGCTTCACATTTCATTTTTTGTTTGAGGTTCAAAAGTGCCTCACTGGTCTAATTGAAATAAATAATTTTAACTTTCTTATGTGAGCTTAATCTTCACCTTTTCGCATCTAACCACTTCGCACTGCCAGCCACCTTGCGGATATCGTCACTCACTTCACCTTGCCAGAAGACACTCTACATTAGCTACATCACACTTACAGTCAATTTTATTGATTGACTTTTTCAATGGAGCTTATTAAAATTTCTACCTTTAGTAAGCAGTCTAAATATAAAAGAGCTAAAGGCTAACTTACCAGCGAAGTTAGGTGCGATATCGATGTGGTTTGATAGGAATCCACAGAACATGCCGCCGATGGAGGTGACGGCTATAGCCATGAGCGCCACGGCCGCGCTGCGGTTGCAACCGATGTAGCAGATAGCGAGCAGACATACGGCTGGCACTAACGATGCTGAAAGGAACTTGATATTTCTAGGTTTGTTTGTTATGGAAAATTCATTATAGTTCAGTTATTTGGGCATTTTAAATAACAATCTTTAAATACTAGGTTTTTTCGCAGTCAAAATGACTGGACTATTGTGAAAAATCTTTATAAAAATGTGCTAATTCTAAAAAAGAAGAGCACATTAAACAAAAACGACAACAATAAACTGGTCCTTTTGTTAATGGCGGATTTATAAAACTTAAATAAATACTTTATTAAACGTGTATCAAAATCTCCTAGAAATGCTGTTAAAATAATTAACACAACTTTAGAGGTATAATATACATGTCAAACACATCCAGACAACTGTTTTTAAATATAAACTGATGTCAGTAGGCTGTGCGACATCGCCGCGACCGCGCACGCTGCTCATGAGGAAGAACCCCTCTGTGATTCGAAACTAGTAGAGCTTTTCTCAGTAAATTCTCTTGTCTGTTGATATATGTATTATGACACACAATAAAAAACACATTGTCTCTCTTGCATAGATCTGGGCTCTAACACTTTTCAAGTTAATTGAAAAATGACACTCACCAAACATAGTAGCAATTTTTCTCGCCGTTGATGTGGAAATATACTTTTTCCCGCGCAACCAGTCCAGGGTCCTACTAAGGACCATGCTGAAGAACCAGAGAGAAAGGAACGGCATAGACACTGCCAACGCATTCTGAAATTAAGACACATAGGAAGTGAAAGCGGAGACCTTATTTTCGATACCAGCGCCACCTATTGTGGTAATTTATATAGGTAAGTACAATTTCACCTGTATATTTCTTACATAACATCACGCATGTTATCCCTGAAGGGGTAGGCAGAAGTGCACATTACGGCACTTAACGCCACTGTACAATGTAACACCCAATTTTCACTATTTACCTCTATGTTATGAGTCCCATGTAATAGGGGGTGAGCCTATTGCCATATACCAGACACATTTCCAGACTCCGTGCTACTACTGACAATTTTTCAAAAAACCCAGAAATGCTTTGCCCGACCCGGTAATCGAACCCGAGACCCCTTGCCCGGCAGTCGCACTTGCGACCATTCGGTCAACGAGGCAGCAAAATAGTTATTTCTTCAGACAGAACGTTCCCCGGTGACAGTGATGCGGACGAGTACTTTGACGCCTAATTAAGAGTATTTTTTTATTCATAGGTGTAGTCGTAGTTAATTTTAAGTTGTAAATGTTTATGTAATTATATTTCATTTCTTTTAATAAATTAATAATATTTATAGTTTATTGGCATTGGAAGAGAAATAAATTGGTATTAAAAAGTTCTTTACCCTTTAAAGAAGAAATTTCTTTCAAATACGAATCCAAAGACGAACATAAGACTAAAAGGGTAGGTACTTACGACATTTTATAATGAGATACTATGCAGACAATACTCACAATTGGTATGCGCGAAAATTATCCTTACAACATTAGTATTACAAGGCAAGTACCCAATTTACATGCCTTATTTCAACTGTCCATTACAATAAAATATTAAAAAATAATCACACTTTCATTACTTGATTTTATGACCAATTTAATTTTAGTATTTTTTCCAGTAAATTTATAATAAAAAAGTATATTTTGCTGATTGACGAAAAAATAACGTAACGTCACAATTCACAATCTCGTACAAAATTCATAGAAAACTGTCGTTATGACAGTTCGAAAAAAGTATTCAATTTAACTGGTTGGCAAATACCCAATTGGAATGCACGAATATTATCCTGAAAACATTATAATTATATTACCGTTCAACTGCAGAAGGGATTAAACAAAAAATGAAGAACTATATAAGTCAATAAAATGTTTATTATGTTTTACATTGAATAAATAAATACAATTGTCTACGGTTAAAATTATGGTATATATCCTTATATATAACCAATACCCTATATAATAATTAAGATATTGGTTCACAGTTTCAGTATACATGAGTATGTCAAGTTTCCTTCCTTCCTAATAGTAGGAATATAGATTCGAAGATGCTCGATAAGTTTCAGGCCACACTGGGGCTTATAATAAAAAGATTATGTAAGTAAGTCGTATATTTTAATTGATATAGTAAGATAAGATAAGATACTGTCTGACATGATTTATTAAAAAATAAATGCACATTATTTTTATTTTATTATATACTTAGAGACTAGCTACTTCAAAAATCGACGTAGTAAATATCACTCAAAATTACTCAATAGTCATAGTCATCCACTTACATCCTATTCATTGAGTCATTACCTACAAAGAAGCGGGCTATCATCTGAAAAACAAACTGATGATCTATAGCAGAATTAGCTCATTTTAAAACAAAATACAAGATCAAAATTAGTTCATCCGTCGAGTACTACTTCGATTACTAGACTACCATGGAGAATACATAGACACAGATATGTTAATAGGGACACGTTGTAGAATATAAAAATTTACTTCCCCTCTAGATTACTGGACTAACATTTATCATAATCGAATACAGATACATGTGAACAATAAAAATACAACACTCCCTTTTTTATAATGGAAGGCTAAGTCTGACAAATATTATAAAAAAGTTATCTTGACTATGTCTAAGTCTATCATTATCAGCATCAGCCTGTACTTAGTTAACTGTCTCACTCGTTTCTGTGAAAGGCCTCTTCTCAAACGGAGAAGGATTCTATCATAATTACGTATCATTTTATTATACTTATAAAAAAGTTGTAATATTATATCCTGAAGATTTCTACGAGTCAGTGTTTTTTATTTTCTTTTTTAAAAAAAACGATGCTTCACGCTAGGATTTTCTCCTGTGTCGTGTGTGCGTTTACAAACATACAAATTCACATACACATGACACCCAGACCCGAAACAACAATTTGCGGATCACACTTAAGTGTTGTTCCGTACGGGAATCGAACCCGCGACCATAGCCCGCGACACGCTGCACGGCAGACGGCTGCCTAGCCACCGCACTAACCGTGCGCTCACTCAGATCGCTAAACGCGATCTTGTACGCCGAACGCGAATTAAACCCTCAGAAAAGTTGTTTTTTATTAAATAATAATATAAAAACGACATCAATACCATCAATAGATCAAAATTATGGCACATGGAATAATTATAAGTTAAATAAAACAGCAGAACTTTAACACAATGTCAGATTCACAACTTACTTAAGTAAATCGACCAGTTCGTTTGAATTTTTTGTGAGCATAAGAGAGTTTGCCGCGTAAACTCAGTTTAATTATTTTTGGACTCACATACGGCCAATTTACTACAGCTGTATGCTTTTGAACGAAGTCCAGTATAGCTTTTATTCCGCCAATATCTAAGTCAGGCCTGTGAGACGGGACGCTGACTGGTTGTGGAAACTTACAAACGGACAGAGCATTCTTAGTGAAAACTTCACTTAACAAATTACGCGCTAGTTGTTTTTGATTTTGACATTTGACCACGATCGCAGCAAGATTCTCAAAATTGACGTATATTCGAGAACTTTCCATTAGTTCTGACAATCCGGATGTATAATTTTTGTATTTTAAGGTCCATCTAGTGTCATTTTCATCGTATTCAGGTGGTAGGTTAATAGTCTGTGCGTTTTCATTTTGCGATCCATCTTCTCCGTCTTCTTCTCCTTTTTCTTCTTCTTTTTCATCTTGATTTTCTTCTTCTTTTTCAACTTGTTTTTCTTCTTCTTTAGCATCTTCTTTTTCTTCGTTCTTTTCTACGACTATTTCTTCTTCTTTTTCCTCTACTTCTTCTTTCTCTTCTTCTTTTTCCTCTTCGTCTATTTCTTCTACTTTTTTCTCTTCGTCTATATCTTCTTCATCCTCTTCTTCTATTTCTTCTTCCTTTTCTTCTTCTTTTTCTGCTTCTTGAATTATATCACCTGCCAACTGTCCCGTTCCACTTTCAACCTTAGTAGCTTCTTCTTCTTCTTCTTCATCTTCAATTTCGTCTTCTAAAGCTTCTAATTGGTCGATCAAATCCTTAAGAGTATCGACAGCTTTAATCGAAGTAGACATTTTATCAACTATTCCATTAATTTGCTTGTCTGATTCTTCTAACTGTTCAATAAAAGAAATTTGGTCTTGAATGGTTTTCCACAGATTTACAATAGCCATGGTTCTAGGATTTAATGGTCCACTTGCTGTTTCATTATCTGTTGCATTATTGGCTGCTTCTGAATCTGAACTATTTTGTTCGGTACTTGATTTATTTTTACCTGTCTCTGTTGACTTTGGAGGTGTTTCAACTATGAGTTTAGATTTAAATTTATATTTAATGGGTTTCACTTTCTTGATTATTAGTTTTGGAACAACTTTATTTCCATTAACTTTTTTGTAAGATACAGTTTTGTGTTGTTTGTCGATGGTTTTCGTTGTAAGTTGGTTTGTAGCTTGTGATTCAGAAACATCATCCTCGGATTCCGTGCTGTCATCATCACTATTGTTACTTTTTTGGATTTCATTTCTCTTGTTTTGTGTGCCAAATATTTTGACATCAAATTTTCCTGTTTCGTTAGAAGTTGTTGGCTTATTATCTGAAAAATAAAAATACTTTAGCATCTTGCAAATATTTACGTAGGTAACAACTGCTATTGAAAATGATTTACCTTGCAGGGCATTTTTCTCTCGATACCCTTGTAAAAGCTTCCTAAGACATATTTGTGCATCTACGTAGGAATCTGTAGAAGATATAAAAGTATAGAATTTAATAGAGTTTTAATAGCTATGTATATGCATTAAGGAAATTACGACAGATATGAAGATGTAACTACGTAACATCTGCAAGTAAACCTAACCCTATTGAAACAACATGGGTTCCAACCTGACATCGACAAAAAACAGTCGGTACAAGATACGATATAAAGCAAATTAACTATTCGGTTTGACCTGAGAAGATCCACCCTTTCAAAGAATAGATAGGTAGCAAAAAGATACGCGCCAACTGAAGGTTTCACCCGTCATAAAAAAAAACCAACTTGAAGTTATGACGTAACGTTACCAGTGCCTTTCGTCGGGTGAGATTTCCGGATGCCCAACAAACTTTTTGGTTTTGATAATGCTGTTTTTTTGGGAGCTATGGAACAGTTGACGCAATAAAACGGCTCCCTGTATGGTCTGCAATGCATTTGTGGTTCCGACTATCACCATCATCATGTAGGATGCAGAAGAATATGTTTGTTGCTACCAATACGAAGTAGGTATTAGATAAATACATTTGGAATTGACATATATAAACTTTTACCTTATTCATACTCGCGTGAGAACGTCGCTGCGCGCCAAATATGCGCAAACTCACATAAACAAGTCGTCACTATCAAGAGACTGGGTGTACGGTGTACGATGATGAAAGTTATAATGTGGAGAATGTTTAAAAAAGCAATAAACATAATATAACATGCTCAGACAAACTTTATTACTTAGTAAACTTTAGTTAATTCACCGAAACATCTGTTTCAGAATCTCCTATATTGATGTCTTTCCCCTCCACCCCCCGCCCTTCCGAAGCACCTGGTTACACTTGCCATAACAAACCATAGGTATATAATATTCAGTACCAATCACTGTTTTTCATTTATATCAGTTTAGAGGACTTGTTATACTGTACATTGGACATGCGAATTACGATTTAAATATAAACTCCTTGTCAACCGATAATAATCGATTACCTGTAACAAACATTCATACCGGCGCCATCGGTGTCTAACATCGCACTTAACTGTATCCCTATTAGGCCTCAAGTTGCGAATTGAAAACAAAAACGAACTAATATAGGATATTTTAAACCTATTTATCTAAAAAATACTGATAACAAGCATAGCTCAGATTCGGAAGGCGAAAGGTCAGTGCATGCATGATCAATCATAAATTAATTATATTTGAATTTTTAATAAGAAGGAATGGTCGGATGAGGGATGCTTAGAATCGAAAGATATAGCAGGGAAAGATGTCTGATATGATAATGATAAAGAAGTAGAAACTCACCCGTCTTATATTTGATATCAGCCCCAAAAGTCGACCAATTCGGCTGACTGATCTCACAGTGTTTCACCCTGTATGTCGTCAGTGATTTACTTTCTTGTGGATATTTAACAATCAATGACTTTTTGTGCAACCTCAACCAAGAATATGGCACACAAATATACGGATCCAACCAAGGCTCTCCAGCTTTTTTTAATTTTATCACACAGTATCTGAATTTCTTATTAGGGCCTCCCATCTAAAATTTCATAATATATGACTATATGACACTATCATTTTGCATAAATAAATAACATAAATAAGTAAATGAATTACAATCATACCTTTTATATTAAAACGCGTCCGTAACACAAATTAACCGGTTGATTAATATAAACTTCACATTGCAATTAAATAACAAATGTGTCCCTTCATTTGTTATTTGCCTCTGACAGCGGAATTAGGAATGAACGACATCGTTCGGAACGGCTGAGCGGGAATGAATGAATATAGATTGGCGGTTCTGACACATGCGCAAAAAGCGACTCAGTTTTAAATTCAGAACGGTGACGTAAGCACTAATCAATTATCAGCTATCGTAATGCCATTGGTCACTCAGTTTTTGTCAGCTACCGCGATTGGGCTAACAACTCTAAGCGTCAATAGCGCCAAAAACAAAAGCCTGATTGCTTATTCAAATAAATGAACAAACGCGGTCTAAATTTAGATAAAGTCAGAATAATTCGCGTAAACTCTTCCTTATAGTATGGTTCCCGCGCATAGTAAATAGTAGGCCGCCACAACATTATTTATTACCTATAGAGACCAAAAAATTATAACTTTATCCTGTGACCTATATATTTATCCTGCAGAACAGTCGGTAAACTAAATCCCAGTCACCACGCATGATGCAACTTTTAACCCCTGGTAGGTAGTAGGTTCATATACGCGAGACACAATGTGTTTTCTATTGTGTCTCATATACCGGCAGATATGGGGTTAAACCGATTCCTGGACTCAAGGCCAGAGTGTGGTGTGTTATTGAGTGAACGAAGATTATTTTTGTCGGAATACTTACTTGAAGTTTTACGAAAGAGATGAATGAACGATATTATCTAAAAATGAATAAGTATTTAAATGTATTCTTTCCTTATTTCCTTTAACTACCTCATTTAATATCCTACTATAGTATTGTATCCACCCAAAGGTTACCTGGTAGATATCGCTTTTAGCGATAAGGCCGCCTTTGTACCCTATTTTCTTTATTTGTTCCTGGATATACTGTCTCAAATTGGTGTACAATAAAGATTATTATTATTATTCCTTCAATTGTATATTTATTTAGTAGTATAATTGATTTTTTGTACCGTTCTATTCATATAAATAAATAAATGCCCACCAACAGCTTGTCTAGTAGTTAAACTAAATATTGATTTTAATGATTTGAAAATGGTTGTTGATTGGAATAAAGTTCTGTGACCGAATATTTATTAAAGTCAAGTGAACATGTAAACGTTTGTTACATGATAAGGTCAAAATAAAAAAAAATAAGTACTTACCTCTTGGATTTAAAACCGTTATTTAACTGAACGTTCTTAAATTATAACTTCGTTCTTTACTTTTTAAACTTATTAGAATAATCTTAAAAAAATATGATAAAATCATAAACCATCCTTTACAGTCGAATAAAAAATAATGTTACCATTATCGACAAAAATTCGCATGTCATAGACACAAGAAAAAACAAAACACTAATACGGGATAACTATATTTTAAAAAAGGACTTACCTCAGTCATATTGAACTTGAGGACTTGTTTCATGTAGAAGGGCAGTTCGATGAGCACCATATACCAGCCGAAGTTGGAACAGGTATGTGCTATCAGGATCGCAAGGAATGCTGGCGACTTGAACGCTGCTCCCCAGGGCATCGGATGCTTGTGCTGCAAGGGATATGAAACTGAAGTAATAGATCATAAAACTAGGAACAGTGAGCGAGAGACGAGAAGATCATTCTCAAAAAAATTTACGAATGTCTTGGACTAACAGCAAATGTAAAAAAGTTATGGATATTTTTTTTTATTATTATTTTAAGCTTCAAGACAATATGGCGTTGTAAATAATGAGTATTTGTTTCAGTAGATCTAGACTCTACAGGTACTGTATCTATTGCAGAAGCTTCTTTGTCTTACCTTCTGTCCTTGATTCTCTTGATTGCCCAAAGCCTGGAGGATCATGGTTCTCTCGTCAGCATTCATGAACCTCTGCTGCTGAGGCGTATCCTGCACCAGCACCACCCATAGCACACACCAGATCAGAGACAAACCACCCATTACGTAGAACACACTCTCCCATCCTGGAAGAAAAGGTCTAGTCTGGTCATCTCCGAGGAGTAACGGAGAGGAGATTTTTTTTTTTGTTAGTGAAAATTTACTTAGGTCTATCGACATTGTGATGGTTTTTTAGACTTAGAGCCTGACACTTTGATATTGATTCATTCATCACCTATGTCCTCATACTCGCTAGATGCGGGTACTATTAATTCAACCCTATTGAACATAATGTATTCAATACAATGACAATTTGGCATAAAACTTTTGTTTTACATATTTTTGAGCAAAACAGACCAAAATTACAGACAGTTTACAACTTCTTCTAAACATGTATGAAAACTATGGCTTAAAGTAGAATTATTGTTAATTTAATCCAATAATAAAGTTTATATAATAACTATTGTGAGACATAATAAATTAACTAAAAATCGCGGGTTACTCACGTGCATATACTGAGGCCCTAATACGAGCTTGTTTCATCTTTAAAGTAATCGAAACGAGTACACGTTCCACGCTGTGATTGGCCGCCTCCAATGGACCAACCAATCAGATTGGAACTCGGACTAAGGCCTCTGAGCTCTACTAGTTACGAACCACAGAGGGGTTCTTCCTCATGATCAGCGATTTTTAGTTAATAATAAAGTTTACCAATTAATAAAATTAATTACCAATATTAGCAGTGAGTACTCCAGCCATCAGCATAGATATGACGGTGCCTAACGAGGTCCCAGCGTAAGTCAGTGCAGCCATGAAGCTCCGCTCTGATGGCGGCGCCCATTTCGACAGCATCGTGTGCATTGCGGGAAACGTTACACCCTGGTCAAAAGATTATTATTTAACCTCGTTTCGTTTAGTCGGCAACACACTCGTGATTCCTTCGGTGTCTAGAATATTTTTTACACATGGGAAAAAAAAATATGGAATAACTTAATATTATAAATGTGAAAGTTTCTTTGTTTAGATCAGGGCTGTCCAAACTATAGACCTCCTCGCGAGCTAATTAAATTTCTTACAAAAGTTGGAGGGCCAGAAAAATATTTTCAGTTGTAAAATGAGGTTTAACATTGTATTCTTTATTCACAGACAAAACTTATATACAAATCATACACTGAATTTTATTATTGTTGTTGCACAAGAAGATGAAGATGTTGAAATTAAAATGTGGGTCGCGGTCGCGGACCACATGAAAAAGACCTGGGTGCGTCTTTCGCATGCGTCCCGCGGGCCTTTTTCATGTGCATAGCAAGCCCGACCCGGGAATCGAACCCGAGACCCCTTGCCCGGCAGTTGCACTTGTGATCACTCGGCCAACGAGGCAGTCTTTCAGTCAAATACTTGTTTCTATTTATGAAGCCACCTAACAACTAATAAGCTCCCAATCAGCGTACTGAAGTCAATAATAATAAACATTGTTCCTAAAGAGACAATGAACCCGGTGTGAAATTGAACGGTTAAATATGGACTGATTGTTTCATGTACGTACGTGTACGCATTTGCTTTCAAAAGGGCTTATAAACATAACATAACATCACGCCTTTTATCCCCGAAGGGGTAGGCATTGCCACTGTACAATTGTAACACCTACTTTTCACTATTTATGTTATAAGTCCTATGTAATAGGGGGTGAGCTTATTGTCATATACCAGGCACAACCACCAGACTCCGTGCTACTACTTAGAATTTATAAAAAAAACCCAGTAAGCTTTGCCCAACCCGGGAATCGGCAGTCGCACTTGTGACCTGCCAACGAGGCAGTCTTATAAATAATGAGGAATATTGTGCTATAAGAATGTGTATGGAATAAGTTAAAATCTCCTTAGATTTTAACTAATAATATACCTAACAACACGAAATATAATAGCTGCGTGTAAGTATAGAAAACACGTACAATAGATTTGAAATAAACAGAACTTTTAAGTTAATACTAATAAACTACCCAGTTATTTCTTTCCAAAGAATCGATCTTCTTTCTTCTAATTTTCTATCTTCTTCTAATTTATATACATATATAAAAATGAAACCCGTTTCCCGTTGTCACGCCATAACTTGAGAACGGCTACACCGATTTTTTGTGTTTGTGTCAGGTGAAGGTTCTTATGGCAGAAAAAAGTCCTGAAAATCCGTCGGGAATGGGAGACACCTTGTTTGGGATTGCGCGTACGAAGTCGCGGGCAGAAGCTAGTATAGTTATTTGCCCGAACAAGGTATATTATAATTATAGTCTCTCTTATTCTGCTCCCAATTCGGACGAGCAGAACTTTTAAATGTAAGTTTTAATAATAGAACCAAATAATTTACGAATATTTTTTTCAAAAACTGGGTTTTTTTATTACTTACCCCTCCAATCCCCTCTCCTATGCGCATGAGCACGACGCCAGAATAGTGCAGATTACACATTACGGGGGTAAGCAGAGTGCACACCACATTGATGAACACACTGAAGAACATCACCCATTTCGCTGAGTACAACTCTGCGATACGGGCGGCTGATGGATAAAATAATGACTGTTAAACAATTTCTCGAAAACGGCTCCAACGATTTCGAAGGAACTTGCAATATACTGATTAAAATGATATAGCAATAGGGAAAAATGCTTCTCTTCCGAGTAATGATTAAAATTAAGTCAAAAGAACAAAATTATACTTTTAAGTATAAAGTGATGTTAAATGAAAATAAACTTACCAGGTAATTGTGAGATGAAGTATCCCCAGAAATAACAACTGAGGACTATGCCCTGGACCTCCGATGACCATGTGAAGGGGCCATCTAATTCCTGAACAGAAAATACGGTACATGTAGCTAGTGCTTTGTAATAATCATATCTTACGTAGACTACTTAAATCTGAATCTAGGAGGACCATTCCTTAATGCCACTGTACTATATGGCACTCACTTTTCACTATTTATGTTATGAGTACCGTGTAATAGGGGGTGAGCCTATTGCCATATATAGGGCACATTACCAAAATCCGTGCTACTACTGAGGATTTTTAACAACCCAGTAATGCTTTGCCCAACCCGGGAATCGAACCCAAGACCCCTTGTCTGGCAGTCGCACTTGCGACCACTCGGCCAACGAGGCAGTCGAGTATATTTAAAACAACTCTCCAATATCAAATTAAATGACTTCCAGCCATGTAGGTTAGCAATTTAGTCCGCATTTTTATTGTCCATTATCGCAGACATTGTTAACTTATCAACTTCTAGTATATTAATTCCTATATAACAGCCATTGTTAATAAAAATATCAAATCACGATAGTTGATTCAGGACGTCTGGAAAATGAATTTTGCTCTGTTATTGCTTATGAACATTGTAATGTTTTCATTGCAAATTCTTTATTCAGAATCATTGGAGACGTGCCAAAAGTATTTATAAAACTTTATGACCGATTATTAACTTTTTATAAATTACTAAGTAGCTTCTGCCCGCGACTTCGTACGCGCAATCCCATTTTCCCCCCGTTCCCGTTCGTGATTTTCGGTAAAAAGTAAAAAAAAAGTATTGTATAAAAAGCCATTCTAAAGCCATTTAGCCAGATTAAGCCATTCTTGAGTTATAAATAGTGTAACTAACACGACTTTCTTTTGTATATATAGATTATAGATATGTTTCCCATCTACACAAAATTACTACCGTATCCTAATCGTAGAATCTATCTATATATATAAAAATTAATCCCTTTTTCCCGTGGTCACGACATCACGCGCGAATGGCTGGACCGATTTCACTAATTAGTTTTTTGTTGTATTTGTTATTATTAGGAGAAGGTTCTTAAGACAGAAAAAATCCTGAAAATCTTAAGGGAAAGGGAGAAAACGTGATTCCGCGTACGAAGTCGCGGGCAGAAGCTAGTAGAATGATATATTCATGCTACATTTAAACTAAATCACGAAAAATCTTTGTAGTTCAGAATTTCATTTAACTCCAAATTTTAATGTGTACTGCAATTCATAGGTAAGTATTAAAATTATTAAAACCATTTATTTTACGCAATAAAACAAATTCACCTTGACCGATATAAAAAATAAAAAATAAAAAAACCGTCTGGAATATTTTCCCACATGGCAACAGACGTTAGCATGACCGAAAAAGAATTATACATCAACATACAGCCAATGAAATGAATGACATTCGCATATCATCGTTTACGAGCGTCCCAATTTATTGCTATTTAAAAACAACTCATGTTTATTAAAAGTTAATGGAAATTAGGTCGAATGAATACAACATTGCGCGAACTTTTGTGATGCAACTGACAAGACTTGCAAGTTGCAATGAAATGCAACGATTTCTCTTATCTTTAGAGAATAAACAGTTTTAATTTTCCTGTTTTGTGTATACACACATCGAGCTTTACATAACCAGTATAAACTGAACGTTAAATATGCGGAAAGATGATGCGACGCGACACCAGGATAAACTGGTTTTGTATAGATTGATGTGTGGCCGTGTGTACCTATCAATGAAGAACATTGTCAAAGTCAAAGTTAAAATCATTTATTTTAATTAGACCAGAAAGGCACTTTTGAACGTCAACAAATATAAAATGAAAAGTGAAGATATTTGCTCATTCCAAGGTGTAGATTCCTATGGAGAAGAACTAGCAAGAAACTCCATAGGTTACTCTTCTTCAATCATTTCTCTTTTTGCCGCTGTAATTTAAATCACCTCATATTTTCGAACAGTTTCTTCAAAGAAACTTGAGTCCGCTCTTGAGTCAAAGCAAAGGTAAATTTTCATTGTAACAACTTACTAGTAAGTTGATGCTACCATTTCTTAGTTTACCTGTTTGTGATCCATAACTATTTTAGCATAGCAGTTCAAGTTTCAATGGAGTCTTAAAACCCTAGAAAACCTGCTCTCATGGCTCTCAATACGAAGCAATAATAACACACAGGTGACACAGGCACTCTTATGCATGATTTAGATATAGGTATTTACCGTAGCGTTACTGCTTCCACCAGGAGCTGTGCACTCCCCTGGTCCTCCGGAGCCGTGTGCGTCAGAATCCCCTTGAGCCTTTTTAAGTGCAGTATGGTTCAGCATCCCCACCATAGCGACAGAAAGGTTCACTTTCAGCCCATAGACTATTGCAAAGCCTATGGAGCCGAAAACGGATAATATGTAGCGTGCAGGGAGTATACCTGGAAAGAAAATTAGATTTTAATATTTATCGGGTCGTAACCGTCAACCGGATATCCAAAGGCCCAATAGCCGATTCGGAGAACCTAACGGGTTATCGGGGCTCCGGCTCGAAGTGCAGTAGGTAGTAACAGGAACGGGGTGGTTTTTAGTCAGTAAGAGCCTGCCTCACCCAGGCGGGAGAAGTCATTCGATGATTTTCCCCCCTTTAAAAAAAACCGTCAACCGGACTAAGGTCCTTATCTACTTAAGATAGGTTGGGTTTTTCTGCTTCTGACCCGTTTATTGATTTTTTATGTAGTTTTCACTACTCTTCAAGATCCTGTTCCCATTTTCATATACCGAGCCAAAATGATCAATGTTCCGAATGTCCCGAAATTAATATTTTGCATCTGACAATAAGTGCTTAAAGATGAGGAAGGAGGGAGGACTGTCAGCTTCTTGGTACATCACGTACTAGACAAAAGACTAACAATGCACATATTATGTGAAACTGTGAGAAAGATTTTATTTACCTATCTACCTATAAATAATAGACAAGTACTTAGGTACATATAGGTATACGTAAGCCACAATAGAGCTTTCACTTAATTTCCTTTCTTGATCGATTTATCAACAGGTTTCCAAGAATCTATCATCTAAGTGATTGGCTTCGACAAACAGATACTGACAGACAAACACACCTTCCTTTAATATTGAAGTCAAACCATCTTCAGCACTCATGTGACGGGTGGATGTCACTTAAATATACCTACATTTAATTCTCTTTAAAATGTCTTTTAAATTATGATAATTTGAAATCCCTATATTATGTACTTATGTATGTACGTTTATATATTAAAACTTTCGTGAGACATACTAAATTAATTATTTTGTTTTTGGCCTACTCACGTAGCTCGACTAGTTTCAAGCCATGCTAGAGGCTCATATTCATGAGCAGCATGAAAACATAATAATTACTCATGTTCGTGTCTACTGGGTATTTTTTAGACACAATAATAGGGTAGTTTCCAGGGTAAGAAAATTAAAAATCTAATTATTATTATTATATGTATAATATTATAATAGTCACGGGCAAGTGCTGAAAATCAGCGCCGCGACTCGAGCACACTCGTGTCACGGCATTTAAGCTGAGCTCTGGCCTTTTTGCGCCGTCTTTATTGTATTATTTTTTATTTTATTTTTTTGTGTCATTGTACCTTGTTACGGTGTGCAAATAAACGCTTTTTCTTTCTTTTCTTTCTTTCTTTCTAATTAGTGCGTCGGTTAGATAATTAAAAAATATTAGACACATTTTTTTTCTCGTATTATATTACAATACTTAGATAAAATGGAGTTAAGTTTAGGAGTGGGAGGTCGTTACGTCACAATGTGCTACATTTTGTAGCACGCTGTGACGTCACACAACATAAGGGAGTATCTGACTGTTACTAAACAATGTATCTAACGGTTAGGTAGATTCTACCTAACCACTAATTAAACGCCTTTATTTAACAAGGCGCAAGGTGAAAAAGTACTTGTATCTACAGATAGACAAGTGTAATAAAACATTGATATGCATGCAATTTATATCCTATTGGGAATCCACGACCGACCGCCAAGGTAAAACTGCTAACATAATGCATTCATGCGATGCATAGAGATTAAAAATAAACACACGAATCATACATAATACCTATCTATAGTTTCTTTCATTATTAAACATTATTTTGGGTTTTACGGCTTGTTACTTCGGCCGTATGAAATCTTGAAGAATTTTCTCGAGTCCAGATTTTGTAGATATCCCGATACGTATAATAGAGGTAAAGAGTTTTTCATATTTATGTGAATATCCCCCTCGCTTTTTGTGAAAGTTAAGCTTTCTGGTAGTGAAATAATGTTCCAAATCCCAAAGATGGGAGCAGTACTCCACACACGACCGAACTTGTGCTTGGTAAAGAGTGAGCAACTGCTCCGGCGCGAAGTACCGTCTCACTCTCGACGGGATACCCAACTTTCTATCAGCCAGTTGCACTTTTTACTCAATATACATGCCAAAGTTGAGAGTGGGCGTCAGAGTTACGCCGAGAAGCTCGAGACCGTCTCCCATCGGAACGGACACACCTCGGAATGTAGGAGTCAGTGGGAACTGACTCCGTTTCTTAGGCAGTAGGCAGTAGGTAGACAGAGATGCACATTACGGCACTTAATGCCACTGTACAATGTAACATCCACTTTTCACTATTTAAATATTATGAGTCCCATGTAATAGGGGTGAGGCGGTGAGCTTTATAATTTTAGCAAATAAATAAGTAGGTAGGTTCTTTTTTGTTTGCATACCTATAACTTTATGCATATAAAGTAAATACGATGATATTATTATATTGGAAAAACCATTGTACGATTCCACAAGTTAGTTTGTTTCCTCTTAAAGTATTTTTAATTGATTTGCCAAAAAGGAGGAGGTTATCAATTCGGCTGCAATGAATGCAAAAATATAATTCACGGTTATAATTTGTATATTTTTTACGGGTTTAAAGAATGACTTTTGTTTAAAACTTGTGGTACCTATAAGTATGACTAAAATAATAGTTACTTTTTTGTTTTTAGTTTTTACCTTTTTTGTACTTATTTAGGTTTTAATTTTCGAAACGAAAAGAGTAACGAAAGGAGTTTCTTGCTCGTTCTTCTCCTCTCGAATCGACATTTTGGAACGAGCGCCTAGCTTCACTGACGGACAGACTGACAGACTATTATTTATTTCATATTTGTTGACGTTTCAAAAGTACCAAATTAAGGTTTAATTGAAATAAATGCTTTTGAGTTTGAGTTTGAGTTCGAAGTCGGTTTTTTTAAGTTAAATTTATATGTCAGGTCGCGCGTGGTTCTGTTTACGCCACCAATGGGACTGAGGTCACGTAGGTACAGTAGGTTAGGTCAAACTGATAAGTAGGTATAATTTAAACGTAAATCATATTAATTGTAATTCATACGAAAACCCACCCATAGTTACTTAGCCAGTTTTCCTGTCGTGTTTATTGATGCCTCATTTATCTCACTACTGGTAAAGTTGGGACGTCATAAAGTAGTAAAAGTAATAAAACAAGATATCTATTTTTGGATTACATTTTATAAATTAGTGTCTTGTCTGTATGGTACATTTTCTAAAAAAAACTGAACTGTCATGTACCCTCTTCTGTAGTAATAACTACATCTAAATTTAAGAATCTGTAATCTTGGAGGAGACAGGCTGTTAAAGTTAACGATGAAGAAAACATCCAACTATATTTATTTAGTTTTTATACTGCAATAAAGAAGCACTAAAGAGCTAAACGCAAGCCCTAACCTACTTACGTAGGTAAGTACCTAGGTAATAACACAAAGATGTAGAGATTAATTTTATGCCTCTCCCTTCGGAAAATGATAAGAGAAACTTCGAGAAACAGCGTCCACAGAAACAGCAGGAAATAACATCCGTATTCTGATATTCAGCCTACCATATCTACACAGATAAATAATAAAAAAATACTATTTGTAATATTATAAAATAACCGCTTTTTACTACATGCATACGATACACATACAAAAATAACATATTTTACAATGTTTGTTTGTTTGTGTGTTTGTACTGGCTAATCTCTGGAATGACTGGACCGATTTTGCAAGACTGTTATTGGCAGGTAGCTGATGTACTAAGGAGTAACATAACCTACTTATATTTTGGAAAATTGATACTAAGAAAATTTTAAGTTCTAAAACTCATATTCTACGCGAACGAAGTCGCGGGCAACAGCTAGCTAGTCCATTAATATAATTAAGTAAAGAAACGCGTAAAATAACTACCTCAATAAACATACGTCATTATACTTTATCACATACTATTACTTCGACACACGGGAAACGATGCATCATGAGTCATCAGATACTATTTTATCATTATGTACCTACTCATTATATTTTAGAGACAAACGGGGCCATCTGCTTAACTTATGTTGTGGTGACAAGCGCGACTAAGTACTAAGCTAAGAGTCACAGTTTAATTCCCCAGGTCTCGGGCTAAACACCTATGTATATGTACTTAAGTTAGGCAACTAATGGGGATATGTAAATACAGTAAAACAGGGTGAATAGATACAGAAGGAGGGTGCATAAATGTTGGGATAATATTCCTGTATCTATTCACCCCTCGAATTCTATTCACCCCGTTTTACGGTACTCAGAAAGTACCAACAACTTCGGTCATCAACAACGTCATGCGCCACCAGGATAATAAAACAGGATATTTCCAACACAATGCGGTCGTCCCACTTACACATTTGAGAGTGAAATAAGGAAAACCAGAATATATTATTTTTCAACTACAACAATGTCAATGTTGTTTTTATAAAGGATAGGTACCTAAACGTGGGAATTTCCTACTAGAGTCTAAAGGACAACACTGCAAAGAAACGCAGTTACGTAGAATATTAGAGTCTTATGCACAGCACGCTGATCCCTAGTCGAAAAACAAAACATGCTTATGATAACACGTAACGTCAACCAGAGTTCCTAGACTTTTTTTTAAGGGGGGAAATCATCGAATGACTGCTCCCGGCTAGGTGAGGCGGGAGGGAGTGTCAGACTCTTACTGACTAAAAACCACCCCGTTCCTTCTCCTGCACTTCGAGCCGAAGCCCCGGGTACCCGTTAGGTTCTCCGCGTCTAGACTAGACTTTTCATTAAGTCTAGACAAAGACATTTAAGTTCAGATTACGATCAGTACAACGTACACCATGAACGAAAATAAAATTGTCTGATTATCTGCTTTCAGTTATTGCAGTAATAAAGAGCACAGATAAATTGATGTATAGCTCCAATATTAAGATAAAAGCATTCGACGAAAAACATTTCATTTTATGCTGGTCGAAAGTCATATGAAACCTCATAAATGGTTTCACTGTTCAAATTCAAGATATTCATGAAATCTCTGGTATGTAAAAGCTATTAAATATTTCAGGACGAAACATCTCAGCGTTGTATGATAAGCCTGCGATGCAACTTGCAACTGCAATTTACAATCTGCCTGCCAAGCGAGGATAAGGACAGAATTCACATAAATTATATAGAGAAGGCCCAAAGACTTGGCTTTATTTAATGGAATATAATATAAGCCGGCATACGAGCAGACGAATGAACCGGATGGTAAGCAATTGGCGCCGTCCATGGATACACCCGAAACACCGGAGGTGTTAAAATGCGTTGCCGGCCTTTTGGAACTTTAAGATCTTTGAGGATTCAGGGATTGGCGAGATTAGAGAGGGGTAATAGGCCTCAGGTAAACTCACTCACACGACGAAACACAAAACAAGCGTTGTGTCACGTCTACTTTCTGTGAGGCCGTGGTATCACTCCGGTCAAGCCGGCACATTCGTGCCGAAGCATGGCTCTCTCACATTTGCTGTCGATATTATTTATTGATATTACTAGCCACCCGCCCCGGCTTTGCACGGGTGCAATATGCATGTATTATACATATAAACCACAGATATAATAAATAAACCTTCTTTACGAATCACTCTATCTATTAAAAACAAAACACATCAAAATCTGTTGCGTAGTTTTAATGATCTAAGCATACATAGGGACAGAAAGACGGCGGATAGACTTTGTTTTATACTATGTGGTGAAGTGAAGTACCTACATATTGTTATTATGCAACATTTCTATGTAATAGAGCATAAGTCTGTTGCCATAATAACAGGCTAAATTGCAACCTGACACTAGACAGGCAAAACAATTGAAATACTTAAAATGAAATGATCAGACTCCTGCCATGATGCTATAAATAAATTTGATGAGTTATCGATTGTACCTAACTGTATGCCTATATGGGATTTAGTGCCCATTTCGAATGTTGATGAGCCGATATAAAAAGGAGATAATGAAGTACAGCAATTTTATTATCTCCTATCAATGACAAACCATATATTAAAATAGTGCTTCCTGGAATACCTAAGCCTATAAATATTGCTAGTTTATTTGTAAGCCCTAAATGCCAGCTGTTCATATTATGATGATTTTTAGAAAGTAATGTTTTATAAACTGCCTCGCTGGCCGAGTGGTCGCAAGTGCGACTGCCGGGCACGGGGTCTCGGGTTCGATTCCCGGGTCGGGCAAAGTAATACTGGGTTTTTAAAAAATTCTCAGTAGTAGCACGGAGTCTGGAATTGTGCCCGGTATATGGCAATAAGCTCACCCCCTATTACATGGGAATGGGACTCATAACATAAATAGTGAAAAGTGGGTGTTACATTGTACAGTGGTATAATGTGCACCTCTGCCTACCCCTTCGGGGATAAAAGGCGTGATATTATGTTATGTTATGTTTTATAAACATTTAGAAAATTTAGTTCATATTCATATGATTTAATTGAGTGAGCCTATTGCCATATACCGGGCACAATTCCAGACTCCGTGCTACTAACTACTGAGAATTAAAAAAAAACCTAGTAGTAGGTATTTTGTACAATAATAATCATGTTTTATTTTAATACATATAATAATTACTGGAGCGAAATATATAAAACGTATTATTGAGGTACTAATTATATTATTGTCGTCTAGAAGCTTTTTAATTTACCTTTTTTAAAAAGGTCGCTTCTTGACTGCCGTTGGTATAATACCTCGTATTTTCCTTTCCTGATGGCATCTCAGGAAATTAATATTCCACAGTCGTAATCTTAAAACGTCTTAGAAGATCAAGCACTTACTTCAAAGAAGATTTATGCCGACCCCTCATTTATAATTAATTAGCTTAAAGATTTGCTGTTTATATTAGGCATTGGTATTAATGAGACACTCATTGCCATTACTAACCAAATTTCCCCACCCGTGTTTGTTCGTACCTAATGAACTCAAAAACTACAGAGCGGATTTTCATGCGATTTTCACCAATGGATAGAGAGATTCTTGAGGAAAGTTCAACAAGTAATGAAAACGTGAATGCCACAGGCGGAAAAGGGTGGGGATAGGGAAAGTTCGTAGATAAACTAAATAATATTAATACATAAATGTAATGAAATAAACGCATCTACTAAGATATATAAGTCTCAGATCGAATAAAGTATTATGTGTCCGGTATATGGCAAGAGGCTTACGCCCTATTACATGGGACTCATAACATAAATACTGAAGAGTGGGTGTTACATTGTACAGTGGCATTAAGTGCCTTATAATTCACCTCTGCTTACCTCTTTTTGGGGACAATAGGCGTGATGTTATGTCATAAGATATATATAAATCCCAATTTGGTTTATCCCGTGCACCAAGTGGTTAACAGGAAAAATAAAAGGAATGCAGAATGCAGATTTAGAACGACACACGGACGACGTACGTGACGGACGTCATCGCGTCACAAATTTTTGTTAATCGATTTGATAATTACCATGGTGTACTATAGCATCAACAAAACTGGACAAGTTATTATACAAAACTATAACTTATGCCAGCGGTTTCGCTTGCGTTCCCTTAGGATAAAGATTCCTAGCCTAGCCTAGCCTATGTATTCCAGCAGCTGTAGCCTAATGGCATTTAGCGCTTGTCTACGTGTAGAATAGAAAAATAAATTATTTATTATAAATATAGAATAGAAAAAGGAATTGACGTAAATTTTGACACTTGTCAGTGTCATCCCCATACATTTTGATTCCTTCTCTCTCTGTAGACAAGCGGTAAAGTGGCGTTTGGCTAAAGGCCCAGACCGGACCATAATCTACCCCAGTTTCAATCCCTTCAGCCCCTTAACGTGATTGTGAAACAAACATACTTACACATAAACACACAAACTCACAAACTTTCTCATTTATAATACTTATTTCGATAGGAAGGGTGACAGACAAACATTAATGCGTACTTATTGAAATTAGGAATCGAATTCATCCTTCTAATTCCCGTTTCCTATCCGTTTAACCCTTCTAATTCCGTATCCCGTTTAACTTTCTAGAAAATAGCGTATTCCTTTTTAAAAGGCCGGGAACGCACTGTGACTCCTCTGGTATCCATAGGCGGCGCTGATCGCTTACCATCATGTGATCCTCCTTGCGTGTCTGCTTGTTTGCCGCCTATTCCATATAAAAAATTACGCATAAGCACAGTAGATTCATTTTCTAATAGAAGGTTCCTAAACAACTGTAACGAGATTCGTGTCTCAATAAATTTACGAATTATATTTTATAGGATATGCCAACATCATGCATATGAGTACTTTATCGTTACGATATCATGCTGGAAATAACAGTAACATGGTTTTGCGAAATCGCGACGTCAGCAGTCAGTACTATTCTGGGATGTAGATAGGTATACCATAAACAAGGATGTTGACCTTTTAGTTCGACTCCTGTGACCTTCAGACCACAAGGACGCTGGAGGACGCGACCAAAATACCTAAACAAAATTTTCTTTGCTTCAATATTAACCGGGCTATTTTCGATTTAGTTTTATTTTTAATGTGAAAAATACTCGTAATTTTTTTATTAGGTGAAATTACTTATTGCTTTTTTATTTTTTAGTATCGAAAACTGATGTTAATGATTGTTTAATTAACAAACAAAAAATCTGTCACAGAGTAAAAATAAAAAAAAGTAACATGCACTACAAGCAGCAGATAAACCACCAAACATTAACTTTACGCGCGCTTTTAATTAAAACTTGAATTAAAATAATTACTTACGCCACAGAAGACTTTCTCTCACAGGCACTTCCATGATTCAGTATTAATTTTATACAAAAAAATATATTTAAAAATAAAACACAAATAAAATGTTTATTCGCACTCCACACATATACAACTTAATCACTCAAAAGCACGCGCGCTTCTGTTATTGTCCGACGCTGTCAAATGCTACGCGTCCTGTAAACTGTACAACGCGATGGCCACGCGCTAATGTCAATGGGTAAATGATCAGCAATGCTGGTGCAACGTATCGTAAGTTTTCTTTTATACACGAAGGCGGTGGAACGTGCTAAGCGCCATGTAGGTACGAAATGATTTTGTTCAACCGCGTCAGACGGGTCTCTCGCGGCCTATTTGAGCTTTCGCGCCAACCAGCGTCAAGGTGACCTTCAAGCCTCAGCCGAAATCGATTCAAGGAATTTCACTCAGAAACTCTTAGGATCTGCGCAAAGTAGGTACCTACAGCAAAATTGAGAAATGTCCTTGATTTTTGATCATCGTCCTCGGAGCATAACATTACGGCTTTATTTATCTAAAAGGGTAGACAGAAGAACCTTCCCATATTCAAGTAAACAACACACCGTTTTCGTCCCAAACTACCTATATGCAATTTTTTTTTAAATAAAATGTCCTGGGTCTGGTGGTCTTTTTTAAACTCATAATTGCGTAATAAGTCATCGTTTCCAGGAAAATTACATCAAGCAAGTAGAATGTGCGAAATGTCACATTGGTGAGTCTAACGCAATAAGCGCCGCATCGGTGCAATTAGGTACTTACCTAGTTTTGTTTGGTTTTCTAATAAATGTTCACAAATTAGATTGTAATCTAACATTTATTCAGCTGGTACGGCAAGGTTCCAAAATCAGAGAACTACGGGGTACTGGCTGACTATAACAGTGACCACTAACTACTTTGTATAATTCTATACCTTAGAGGCTTAGTATAATAACATAGGTACTGAATAATATAACGCATTTGAAAACAAAATAATAGGAAGTGTAGTAACTATGTACAGTTGTACCTATGTAATTCTTTTGAATTGAGTCCTTAGGGGCCTAGGCTTATCAGCTAGGTACACAATAGTAAATAGGTATGCAGACTTATGAGTTACTTACATAATGGTATACATATACTTCTGACATTTAGATACGTGATCATTACAAGACGATAACAGAAATATTTCTTTCCTAGCCTCATTATTTTTCTCCTCATTATTTTACATATATACCTAGATAGGATAATAAGATTATTATTCTCATTATTATACTTATTCTCATTGTTTTACTAATCTACCAAATATTTGAGTGATTCGTTACTAACCCATAATTAAACAGAACTCGAGAATTCCTCCTGAAAACACAAATAATGCACAGAAATGTACAATATTTAATACTGTGTTATTAACTTATTACGCAAAGACTAAAACAAATATCTAGTAGGCATATCACAATCAGACGTATATCGAAAAAGTTTAACATACTATTTTTTTTTAATTAATTTACGATCATCATCATCATCAGATCAGCCACAGCCAATACTGCCAGAAGACGTCCACTGCTCACCATAGCCTAGTTAGGCCAGTTGCTACTTTGACAGCGACCTGCGCGTTTCTGCCACATTCCAACGTGTGGGTAGACATCTCGCCGCCGGTACATGGTCTCCATTCTATAAGGTCTACGTGCTTCGTACTACCTACATAATTGTTTACAATGTAGGTACTATACTACTAATGCACTTCATTAAACATGTCGTTTTAGAGTTTCTGTCTATCTACCCCCATGGGACAAAGGTACTGTCTAATGAAGAGGTAGACCCTTCTACATCGGACCTTCTACATCATTACAACATTCGGAAGTCGATGGGGCCCAGACCAAGTACATTTACAAAGATGGCTTTCTGAGCCATTTGTCTCGATAATGAACACAAACAACAAATAAAAATGTGTCGAACTTTTTAAGAAACAAAAACATCGTAACGAGTTATCAAGCTCAACCGCGACATACAATCTTTGGACAAAATAATATTAAGTAATGAATATGAACAATACACAGGCAGGTTCTTACTAGACTTTTTTGGAATTGTTAGTGTTGTAATAAGGTAAATATTATAATCTTAAGTTAAATAATATAAGTAGCGCCATCTAGTGTTAAGTTGGCAAGTTTCTCATAGACGTCGATATATTATCTGTATTTTTCCTTTTGTCGTCTGCATGGCGCCCATCATGTGCTTTCTGTGTGATTTATAATAAAACTACGAAATATAACAAGCATTATCTATTATTCAACCACATCCACAACTTCAACATGGTAGCAGAGCGTGGTTGTGTGGTTTCACGAAAAAGTCAATAAATATGAAGTGCAAATTATGAAATCAAATTACGATTGAGGTTATCCGGTCACAACGGAAAAGTTAGTTTTGAAAACGTCTGAATCTACAAGAATATACGTAAATATGGCACAACAAGCTAAAATAGAAGACATCATGATACCTATTTTTGATGGGGCAAACTATTCGAGTTGGAAATTAAGGTTGGTTACTTTGTTGGAATACAAAGAATGCAACGAGGCCGCCATAGGCATAATGCCGGTGAAATATAAAAATACAGAAGCGGAATGGAAGAAGATGGATTTAAAGGCAAGGACTATTATTATGAGTACTATTTCGGACAAACAATTAGAATATATCACTGAGTGCAAGACAGCTTTTGACATGTTACAAAAGTTCGACAAAATGTATCTTACTCAATCAACATCTCTTCAAATTAAATGTCGAGGAAAAGTGGAAGCGATCAAATTAAATAATTACGACACAGTAGAGGATTTCTTCGTTGATTTTGAAAAATCCATAAACGAATTCAAAACAGCCGGAGGTAAAATTGATGAACCTGAAAAGTTAAGATACCTGCTCAGAGCCCTACCACCAAGTTATAGTTATATAGGAGATTTTCTGGACGTGATTCCTGAAGAACAAAGGACTGTGGACTATGTACATTCAAAAATAAAGGAGAAAAATATGACTATGTGCGATGACAAGAAAAATAATGTGAGTACATATACAACCAGCACCACAAGAGCTCAATGTTTTGTCTGTGGTAAGACTGGTCATCTCAAGAAGGATTGTTGGCACGCTCAGAGAAATAATCAAGGACAAAAAAGTTCTCAAGGAAGTTTCCAGTCGTCTAGTCGGGGTCAGCGAGGACATCAGAGAGGATCCTACAGAGGTCGCAGCCGAGGCAGAGGTCAAGGCCACTCATCTAGCAATCATCCTAAAGGTGAATCTTCGAGCAACGGTCCCTCCCAGTCATGGACAGCTGAAGTATGTAAACCAGAAGTAAACCAGGTATCCGGATGTAATGAAAAGGTAACATTTAATAATAATAGTAATGTAGTTAATTGGCTTTTAGATAGTGGGTGCACTGACCATCTTATAAATGATTATTCATATTTTTATGACAGTGTAGATTTGAAAGATTTTGTTGATGTAAAATTACCAGATGGAAAAACCTTGAAAGCAACCAAAGTAGGTACTGTAAAAATGTATTTCAAAAACTATTATAGTGTGAAGTATGTAGATTTAGAAAATGTCTATTATGTCGAAGGAATAAAACAAAATTTATTAAGTTTTTCAAAGGTAACTAATAGTTGTACAATAGTAGCTAAAAATGAAAGTGCTAAAATATAATGAGTCTAGAGAGTTGATAGTTGTTGCTGATAAAATTAATAATTTGTATTGCTTAAAAGGTTATGTCTTAAAAAATGAAGTATGCACAAATTCTGTAAAGTTAACGCAGAAAGAAAAATGGCATAGGGCACTTGGTCATGTGAATTTTCAATACTTAAATAAGATAATAAATAATAAATTAGTTGATGGTTTGCCAGATAAAATTGAAAGCACAGAAATGAAATGTTCAAATTGTATTCAGAGTAAAATGACTAATGTACCTTTTGAAAATAATAGAACAAAAACTACTGAGATTTTAGAACTTATTCATACTGATTTGAATGGGCCACATAACACAACTGGTTATGGTGGAGAAAAATATTTTTTAACCTTTATTGATGATTATAGTAAGTGTACCAGGATATTTTGTATTAAAAGTAAAGCTGAAACTGCAAAGTGTTTTATAGAGTTTATAAATTTAGTAGAAAATAAATTTAATAAAAGAGTCAAGAAGATTCAGTGTGACAATGGTAGAGAGTATTTAAATAAGGATATTTATAATTTTATAAGGTATAAGGGCATAGAGTTGTTACCATGTCCACCTTATGTTCATGAGTTAAACGGAGTAGCGGAGAGGTATAATAGGTCTGCTATGGATATAGGTAGATGTTTAATGAGAGAAGCTAAAATACATAGGAGGTACTGGCCTGAAGTAATAAAAACAGCAGCTTATTTAAAGAATCGTACTATTGCAAATACAGTTGAAAATAAAACTCCTTATGAGATATTTTTTGGGGTCAAACCAAATGTAGAGCATTTAAAAATTTATGGAAGTAGAGTCTATGTTAGAGTTCCTGAAGTGTTAAGAAAAAGTAAATGGGATGATAAAGCTCAACTAGGAATTTTAGTGGGTTATAATGAAAATAGTTACAGAGTTTTGTTAAATAACAGAATAATTAATGCAAGGCATGTACAGGTAATTGAAGAAAATACTCAGTTAATTTGTTTGGAAAAAGTAGACAATCAAAATAATAAAGATTTGGAAAGTGATAATACTTTAGATGTTTCAAATGAAGAGGTTAAAAATGAATATGAAACCGATGAAAACTTTGTAGATGCAGATGAGACTTATTCTAGTAGTAACGTAAATAATAATAGAGAAAATGACGTTTTAGTAGAATCACAGAAAAGAAAGAGAATCCCAGTTTCTAGATATGGTAATCCAGTTACACACTTTATTTATGTTAACCATATTGATGCAAATGTACCAAATTCATTCGAGGAGGCGATGAACTCCAATGATAGTAAGCAATGGCAAATAGCCATGGATTCTGAAATAAATAGTTTAAATAAAAATAATACTTGGCAAATTGTAGAAAAACCAAAAGATAAAAAGGTAATTGATGTTAAATGGGTTTTTAAAAAGAAAAGTAATAATGAATATAAAGCTAGATTGGTTGTGAGAGGGTTTCAGCAAAAAGATTTTAATGAAAATGCTTACTCACCTGTTGGAAAAATGCAAACTTTGAAAATTTTATTGTCATACAGTTGTAAAAATAAATTATTTGTAGAGCAAATGGATGTTGAAACAGCCTTTTTAAATGGTTATGTAAAGTCAGAAGTTTATGTAAATCAACCAGAAGGTTATAAAACAGGAGATAATAAAGTTTACAAATTGCAAAAAGCTCTCTATGGTCTCAAAGAAAGTCCTAGAGTGTGGTATGATTGTTTTGATATATTTATAAAAACTTTGAATTTTGTTAGAAGTAGTTATGATTACTGTTTGTATGTTAAAAAAGCAAGCAAAGATCCAATATACATATTAATATTTGTTGATGATCTTTTAATATGTTGTAAAGATAAAAATAAAATAAAAGAGGTGAAAACAAGTTTAATGAAACGATTTGCAATGAAAGACTTGGGGAAAATTAAAAGCTATATTGGCATAGATATTGAGTATAATGATGATAAAAATGTGATGACATTAAGTCAAACAAAGTATATTGAATCTTTGGCTGCAAAGTATAATTTGGTAAATACTAAGTTATATGATACTCCTATGGAAACAAATTTAAAATTAGAGCAAGCTAGTGAGGTCGATGAAAGTATTAAGTACAGAAATATAATAGGTGAATTATTGTATATTAGTACAGGCACAAGACCAGATGTAGCGTACAGCGTTAATTATTTGAGTAGATATCAAAGTTGTTATAACCGAACACATTACAAATATGCAATGAGGGTGTTAAAATATTTGTATAAAACTAAGAATCTAAAGTTAACATATTATGATAATGCAGATGCTGATATTTTAGACTGTATGGTTGATTCAGACTATGCAGGGGATAATGTGGATAGGAAGTCTACAACAGGTTTTATTATAAGATTTTTTGGAAATTTAATATTTTGGAAAACATAAACAAAATACAGTAACTAAATGTTCAACTTTTGCAGAGTATATTGCATTGTCAGAGGCAGTAACTGAAGTACTTTTTATAAGAAATTTGTTAAGTGAGTCATTTGATATAAACTTTTGTTATCCAATAAAATTGTATGAAGATAACTCAGGTGCAATTGCAATAGCTAAGTATGGTAACTTTACTAAAAATTCAAAGCACATTGAAGTGCAATATCATTATATAAACGAGAATTATGAAAACAAACTTATTGATATAATTAAAATTGATACAAAATGTAACTTAGCAGATATGTTGACTAAGAGTCTAGATAAATCAAAATTTTTGAAAAACAGGTTTGAATTAAGATTAATTTAGTTAAGAGTTCAGATTATTACTTTAAAGTACTGTTTAAGTAAAATATTAAAACTGTAATAACTTTAAAATACTGTTCATGTAAGATAAAATGTTAAGATTATAAATTTAAGGAGGTGTGTTGTAATAAGGTAAATATTGTAATCTTAAGTTAAATTATATAAGTAGCGCCATCTAGTGTTAAGTTGGCAAGTTTCTCATAGACGTCGATATATTATCTGTATTTTTCCTTTTGTCGTCTGCATGGCGCCCATCATGTGCTTTCTGTGTGATTTATAATAAAACTACGAAATATAACAAGCATTATCTATTATTCAACCACATCCACCACTTCAACAGTTAGCATTTTTGTGTTTCATTGATTGTGGTAGTAATTTCGTTATATTTTGATTTTAATCAGTGCCGTACCCAGTATAAATAATAAACTAAAGAAATATAATTGTAGCAATATTGGTAAACGCACCCAAATTATCAACCATAGAGTAGCTGTCATTTCGACATTTAATGGAACTGTCACCTCGGCACAGTCAGTCACCAGTTCACGTCACACGTCACTGTCAATGAGGGAAAATAAGATGATGGATGTTGCTGAACGCCGGTGTTGTTTTGTTGTCCAAATATAAATTATTATTAATTTCAAAAGCTAGTCGTTATTGTTATTAACGTAATTAAGAATAAAAATATGTACAGACGTCATAAATACATGATTGCGATTTTAGATTAATAAACAAAAATATGGAAATCAGCGTCAGCTGATTGCTAGACAGCGGACGCGAATAGTGTTGAGATTTGAACATTCAAATTGGATTTAGGTTCGCCGCGGCCGCGTCAGTCAGTCGAGTCAAGGCGCTCGCTCACTTGCCCGCGGAACCGGCATGCAGCTAACGTGAATAAAGTTTTCTTTCGGCTACAAATCGGTGGTGAAAGTCGGCGCAGATGTCGCGTGAACAATCGTCAAGAAATGTCCACTGTTCGTTTGTACTTTGAATAAATTAATTGGAGAATTTCTAAAGCGTGCCATGGTGTTAGCTGGTGATTTTTAATCGAATATATGCGTACAAATGTGAATATCTAGTGAGAACAGTGGTTATATTAATTTGTTTCTGTAAAAAAATATAAGTTTTTAAACTGAAGTGAATATGGCCTTAACTATGGAACAGAAAAATAATCTTGATTTTATACTCAAGAACTTATTGGCTGGAGGTAAGTGTTTATCCGTTTTACTGTGTGTAAATTAATAAGTAAAGTAGGTAGGCACTAATGTTGTTAGAAGTGTGTCATACACAAACTGAGCCAAAGAAAGTTTAATTATGTAGGCAAGGAGGTCATTATCCAAACACATTTTAAACATAAATTAATATCCTCAACACTTTTAATTTAAAACACTTTATTTTTTTAATATCCAGTCAATTAAATTACAGAATTGCTTAAAATGTCATAGACTATTTTACAATTAATATAAATATAGGGAAATATAACCAAAATAAACCAGTTATAAGTACTTTTTAATGAAAACATAATGAAAACATTTTGAAAAACTAAATTTTAATAAAAGCTATTTATAGAATTAAAATAAATCTGATAAACAATCTGTGAATTCTGTAACGTGTCTAACTGTCCAGTCTTATCCGTGATACGCTTATCATTCGTTATCAGTTACATTGACAAATAGTTTATTGGTAAATAACAACATAATATTTATTATTTATGTTACACGATTAGCAAAATATGGGTTTAATTTATTTTTAACAGTGGATATTATGTTTTATTAAATAAATAACTATGATCTACTTTTGTTTGATCATCCTTATTGCAAGGGAATTCCATAACCGCTATAAAAAGAAAAAGCTTTTAAAAGAAGAATTCACATATTTTCTAATGTCCTTTTTCACCACTGCTAAGATATTGAAAATGGGAACATCACATTGTCCATCAGTTAAACTAAGATAAAAATACTTTGACTATTTTTATGAATATTACCTACTGATGATACATAATTATACTCCAATAAAATATTAATATGAATTCACTATCAAAATAAATCCATGTCAGTAGTTCACTTAACTGCCTGTTTACATAACTTGTCTTTGATAATCCCTTTAGTTTATTTATTCCCAATATAAAAAAGCAGACAATCCTGACTTCGTCATTATCCATCCACATTACAGAAAATAATTTGTGAAGACACCTGCTTTTTCTTCTCGATGTCTCAGTTCGACCATGCTATGCTAGCATGAAAAATGCTTTTTTTATATCAACCGTCACGGAAATTGTGATAACACCACCTGCATAACACGAAATCCATGCCCTATAGATACAAAAATTACCAATCAATGCTTTTTTATTTATTATGAAGCTAAAAATATAATTATTCAGTAAAATAGGTATTTCCTCTTTTTATACCTAGGTACAATGAATGGATCTCGCAACAACAAGTACTGTAATTGGAAGGTCACCTAAAGCCAGCCACAGAGTCGCCGGACATTAGGCCGCCCCCTCTGTATGTCTAGATGACGCAAATACATCATTTCTGCTAGGGTTTCTACCTAATAAAACGATACAAACGAATGGTTCGCAATTTCGGACTGACTTATAGTTATTATGATTCTACATAGGCTTTTAGAATTGTTGAACATTTGAGATGTCATATTCTGAACAAGTGCAACCCCTTGTGAATAAGAGGTCGGAGCAAAAAAAAAACATACAGTCGATATAAGAACCGTCTCCTTTTTGTTGAAGTGCAATTTTTTTCATTGACTATAAACTTTGTCCTAAATTATCAACCTAATAAACAGTCAACATCAAAATCAGTGAAAGATACGCTTAAAAAAAAACTTCATCATAATTTTTCTTTTAGGTGTGGCGGGTATGTGCGCAAAAACGACAGTGGCGCCACTGGATCGTATGAAGATTCTCCTCCAAGCTCAGTCATCCCACTACAAGAACCACGGAGTTTTGGGTGGATTAACTGCTATTGTGAAGAAGGAGTCCCTTATAGCCCTCTACAAAGGGAATGGAGCCCAAATGGTCAGGATATTCCCGTACGCAGCCACGCAGTTCACCAGCTTTGAGATTTATAAAAAGGTAAGGTTCTGTTAAACCGATTTAATATCTTCTAATTTTATAATAACTATCGTGAGACATACTAAATTAGCTAAAAAATCGCGGGTTACTCACGTGAATATACTGAGAAAAGCTCGACTAGTTTCGAACCACAAAGGGGTTCTTCCTCATAAGCAGCGTGCGCGGTCGCGGCGATGTCGCGCGGCCTACTAGTCAGTAAGCCTAGACCCTAGGGTCAGTAACTGCGTTTTTTTAGTTAATCTATTAATTTATTTTGACGGGACGTGACGACGACTTTCTATCTAAGTTTCTAGATCTGAAACGCGCCGGAGTCCACTATTCCGGTGTTTTCATTGTTGTACTGTAGATCTTGGCTTACACGAGTTGCAGTGGTTTTGAGACGTTAAGGCGAACTTACCCGAAAAAATACCTTATCGATAAGTTCTTTTAGAACCATAGCTAATTTTGGTCTAGTTATGATACAGGAGGTTTTCCAAAAGACGAATCTATCCGCCCCACCTACAATTTCACCGAAATAAAAAGAATTCTTTAGTATTTTTTAGAAGTTAATTAATACAATTTTAACATTTCTGGCTACATAGCGTACATACAGCGCTTCTAACCGCATTATAAATAATTTTCCCCACATCTGTGGTTATTTTTGGAATTTTTACGTTGTGTAACCTTCAGACAGAGATTACAATTCAAAATTACGTTTTTCGCTACCATACAATACTTGTCGATAAATGTTACCTAGCCTTTAAAATACTCGCGGAGAACCTAACGGGTAACCGGGGCTCCGGCTCGACGTGCAGGAGAAGGAACGGGGTGGTTTTTAGTCAGTCAAAAGTCTGACTATCCCTCCCGCCTCACCCAGGCGGGAGCAGTCATTCGATGATTTTTCCCCCCTTAAAAAAACAGCCTTTAAAATAAATGTTTTTCCAATCAACACTATTATTTAACTGAATTATTTACTTAAATGGTCCCAGATGTTAGCTACGTCAGTTTGTAAACAGATTCTAATAATAACAAATATAAGTTGGTTCGTTTATACCCATTAATCTCTAAAACTCCTGCTCAGGTTTTGAAAGATCTATATTTTTTTAAGAATTGTTGTTAACTATTACTAAAGAACAAGATAAACACGGGTGAAACTGCGTGAAAGAGCTTTATGAAATCGTTTTTAAATAATTCTTTACTTTCGAGTTTTTTAGAATGCAAAAATAACTGTTTTGTTAGTTTTGACCTAATACTTAGAGACCACAGTTATGTTTTTTTAGACGATGTGCCTAAGTTATGGATCATGTCCATTTGATAGCTTTTAACCATTCTTAAATAATTTACAAAGGGAAATATCAAAAACGTTTCCCTACATATTTCTTGGAACCATTTAAAATAACCCAGTATTATAATATAGAATATTCTGTTTTCTGACAGCTGACTATGTCTTTTCTCTTTTTTGCCTTATGATTTATTTTTAACTAGCGATCCGCCCCGGTTTCGCACTGGTGCAATATGCATGTATTATACATATAAACCTTCCTTAAGAATCACTCTATCTATTAAAAATACCGCATTAAAATCGGTTGCGTAGTTTTAAAGATGTAAGCATACATAGGGACAGACAGATGGCGGATAGCGACTTTGTTTTATACTATGTAGTGAAGTACCAAATTGCCATAGACTGCCACACAGCCTTTATTTTGACACCATTAGAAGTTTCCATTTGCATACACCTAAGTAAATATTTCTGCAAAACAATGACGTCATAATTATTTGATCGATATTTACTCACCTTGGTAATCGTCGTAGACATACAAACATACCTACCTACATACATAGGTAAATCGATAAAGTACATACATACCCTTGAAAACTACCTAGGTACTTGGAGTACCTACTTACTATGTTATTGCTGAGGATAGTAAAATATTAAATATAGGTATCTAACTAATTATAAAAGTGTGGGAAAGCCATGCTTCAGCACGAATGGGTCGGCTCGATCGGATGCCACGGCCTCACAGAAAACCGACGTGAAACAATGCTTCGTCGTTTGAGTAAGGTTACCAGAGGCCCAATTATCCCCCTCCACAGTCTCCCCAATCCTCAGATCCTCAATTTCCCAAATCGCACGCACTTGTAACGCCTCTGGTTTTTCAGGTGCGCATGGGCGGCGCCGATTGCTTACCATCAGATGATCCGTCTGCTCGTTTACCGGCTTATCCCATAAGAAAATCTTATTCTTTGTAATTATTAGTTAGCTGATGCTCTCCCAGTCTCCCACGCTTTAAAGGTAATAGATTCACGAAATCATTAAAGGACAAACATCAGTTTTTAGTCTTAAGTGTTATAATTAACTAGCTACTTCCGCGCGGTTTCCCACGCTCTGCTCAGCTTCTATTGGTCGTAGCGTGATGTATTATAGCCTATAGCCATCCTCGATAAATGCGCTATCCAACACAAAAATAATTATTCAAATCAGACTTGTAGTTACGGAGATTAGCGCGTTCAAACAAACAAACAAGAAAACAAACTCTTCCGCTTTATATAATAGTATAAGATTTCACTATAAAATTCCGTCCAACATTCCCGTTTTTGTAAATACAATTTATCACCAACTCGTTTGTAAGCATGAATGTTTGTATCTTATGCAAAACTATAAAATAAAAATTAAGTGATAAATAAAACAAGCTGACTATCAACATAAAATGCTTACACGCGCCAATCACCGGTGTCCCTCAGGGTGTTTACCTTGTCAATGGCTTTAGACAAAACTAAGAATACAGATAGATAATGTTTTGGATTAGAACATGATTTTTTCATCTCATACAATGGTGAACTAGTTTAAATAATAATTAGTAAAATATGAGCTGTTATTACAAACATAATTCCGTTGAATTTTCCGTATAATACAGAATTATGAAGTTCCTTTAACCTTAATACGGTTTTGCAATGACTAATAGTGTTTGTTCGGAAACTAACGAGGTTTTCTATTATACCTACTTATTGTAAATTTCCTCTTATTTGTTGTTGGGCCGTTAGAATTTGTTACGTTACGGTCACAAAACACTATCACCAAATTTTATGCAGTTGGTTTTTGTAATATTGAAAATTTTGGACACTCCTTAGATACATGTATTGATATTTTGGAGAGCCAATCAGACAAGTGTGGGAGACACATACTTCCGCGCGAATGGGCCGGCTCGACCGGAGTAATACCACAGCCTCACATAAAACCGACTTAAAACAATGCTTGCGTTGTATTTCGTCGTGTGAGTGAGGTTACCGGAATCCCAATTACCTCCTCTTCCCAATCTCCTTAGGCCCCGAATTCCCCACAATCCTCTAATTACCAATTCGCACGTAACGCACTTGTAATGCTTCTGGTGTTCCAGGTGTCCATGGGCGGCACCGATAGCATACCAACAAGTGATCCGTCTGCTCGTTTACCGGCTTATCCAATAAAAAAAAGATAAAGGCTTTGCTATTGATCAAAAAGATTTAGAGCTGTAGAGACATAGTAAGTAATAACGCAAATAATATTAGTACACAGGTCACGGTATGAATACATATGCGTAAAAATTAAGTAAATTTAATTTAACATAAGTAAACTCAAGCCGTAATTTATTACTCAAACATTTAGACACGCTTATGTCGTCGAATGATGTACTAATATCTATATGGTTTGAAACAATTTATGCAAATGCGCTCGTGCTCATCATTATTCGTGTTTATGCTACACACAATATCGGTTCCAGTGAATCTGCTTTATATTCCATGTCGACTGGACACTTGGATTCATACTGACTATACAATAGACCCAGAATAAAATATATCGTGCATTCAGAATCACTTAGGCGTGTCTTCACATACGAAGTACCGTCACCTAAGTTATGTTATATGCAGGTAATAAAGATGGATTCAGAACAGAACCAGTTCCTTCTGCTGTTTGACGAAACTATATCTTTCGTTACTATTGATCAACTCAGTAGCTACAATAGTTGTCTCTATGTTCATTTTCTTACCTATATATCAAATAACTGGGTAGTCCGTACATTAGATGTAAATGAATATGTCATTAGAGGCTAAAGTCGAATAAGTGTCATATTCTGGGCGTAGGTTAATACAGTTTATGAGGAACTTAATAATTATGTCTCGAGAATTCAAAGGGTCAATAGGACCATGACTTCTTACTCTTAACGCTTTTAGCGCGACCAAATGATCTATGATATTTTATTCTAATGGTGATATATCTTGGAATTAATAACGACATTACTACCAAAGTCAATGAACCACGAAAATGATAACAATTTCAACAGTCGAGTAAAAGTACTACATGCATAATGTTCATTCATTATTCAATATTATTTTGTTGTTTCTTCTCTTTTTGCGTAAGGGGTTAAAAATGATGTGGAGACTCGGAGAAACTTCTATAGTTAATGACAGAAGATTGCCAACTGGACTAACAAGCATATCTCTACACTTTGCCACAGAAATATTCATTCAACTCGATTATCAGAAACCCTTTCAATTATATCGACAATCTAATCGAAATCGTGGTTTTATAAAAAAAAAATCGTAAATCAACATTGGTTCCTTGGTATGTACTACGTCTCATGCCTAAATGTTTTATAAAATTTTGCAAAATTGTTGCAATACAACAGATTCTCAAGAGCAACCTGGGCAACGGTGCACTCGTATAATCCCATTAATCCGTCATTATATTATATTTAGAGGAGCAAAGCAGAATACAGATTACTTATCTAGATTAAACATCGTAATATCTATTCTACTTGGTAATATCGTGATTATACCGCATATCTCGACATTTGTGACGTCATTCGTGTTGAGAGTGGACTGCCAAGACTTGGCCTTAATTTAGAGAGTACCTACGTTAAAATAACTGTCTATTTTCGTCCGTAGTATGAAGTTCAAGGCTGTCTCTGTACGGAACTTTTGTTTACTTGCTTTTACTCGTGGTTTTACTCGTTTACATTATTTTTACTACTCTCTTCTCAATA